CATAATTGTGGGTCATATTTGTGTGCAGACAGCCTTGCCTCCCTGTGGTATTCTGGGCCAGTAACTTCCTTCACTCAGCCTCAATCTATAAAATGGGAATAATAATCGAATCTGCCCTCAGGGGTTCTACACAGAATTCCACAATAGATATTTCATCAACCTCAGATTTCTTCTATCTCCCCTGGTTGTCTCCTCCATCTGACTGAAAACTCCCTGAAGTCAGAGGTTGGACCTCAAAAGGAGGTGTCAATTAAGGGTTGTTTTACTGTGGCTTTCTTCTTAGAATCCTCACAGGTAAAAGGTAAACTCTGAAACTGGATTGCTGGAGATTTGATACTGGGTTGGCAAACTCCTATTCATCCTTCAAAGCCCATCTCAAATGTCCTCTCCTCCAGAAAGTCTGTCTTGGGTCCTCCTCTGGGTATTCATAGACCCTGGCCCTCCCACTGGACTATTTCTGACCCCACAAGTTGGGATCACACAAGGGGCAAGCCTGGGGCTAGGTTTGATCAAGCATGTTTGTACACACAAGTTTGCATGTATGTGTGTGTGTGTATGTGTGTGTGTGTCTCTGTGGTGGGCCCCAGGACAGGCTGCCACATCAGTTCTCCCCAGACCATCCGAGACACACATCTTTTCCAGGGTTGTGGGCAGAGCCAGGGCTTTTACAAGGGAACTATCAAACTGGGCGTCTCTGCTCCCTCAAACTTCATCATGAAGAGCTGGGGTACAAGCAACAGGCTTCTGCTTCCACCATGCTGGTACCGTACTTGAAGTCCACCATTAAAACTCCAGCTGCATCTGATGTCCTAGGAAAGGCTGAGTTCTGGGTGCTCCCCCTTGATCCAGCCCTGCCAGGCAACCTTCAAGGACATACCTGAGGTTTGGCAGTGCTGAGAAGGCTGGCCCTGGGCTGAGTCAGCTGGATGGGATTTAGGACCTTCCTGAAAAAAGCAGCTGGGACCCTCAGGCTTTCTGTGTCCCTCAAATTCCATCCCATCCCAGTGCCCCAGAGTGTGCACCCAGCAGGCAGTGCCAAGTGTGCCTGGAGGAGTGAGGGGCAGGGCCTGACTCTAGTTGCTCAGCATCTGCAGGTCAAGTGTGTCTCATGTGTGGGTGACTCTGGTGTGTCTAGTATACAGTGAGTGGAGGAGGCATGGTCACAGGACCCATCAGCGGGGCTATAACCCCCATGAGTGGCTGTATGCTCCCGGGGGTGACTATGGAGATACAAGGATAGCGTGACTGGGAGCACAGGGCAAGGGGAGTAAGGTGGTGTTGCTGCCAGTCTGGGTTGATGGAACCTGAGTGATGAGGTGCCTGTCTTCCTGCCTGTCCATCCCCAATATTGCTCTTTGCTTCTCCTCAGAGCCTGGAGGCAAAGCCTCCTCCAGTCTCTTCCTTTACAGAAGTGGCACTATGATGGCTTCCTTTCCTCCCTTGGCTGTTTAGCTTCCCCGCTCTTATCCTTAGGAAGAGTCAGACAGCAAAGGGACATCAGTCTTCACCTGGGCTACTCCTCGCCTGCTGGCAACTTGCCTTTGTTTCCATCACTAAAGCTCACACCCCTCCACCCACCCCCTACCCCCAACCGAAGCCAGTCTTCCCACCAGGCTGACTCCAGACTTTGGGGTCTGAGACTGGGTCATACCCAATGCTGAAGGCTGATGAGAGAGACAGACAGGACTAGGGAAGTGGTGGGTGGCCACTACAGGTCTAGAGGACCCCAATGGGGGAGCCAGCAATGCTCAGCCAGGACAGGAGGTAGTTTGGGTAAGGGGACAGGACCACAGGAAGGATTTGGACCCTGTAGGGGCTGCCATGTAGGAAGGGCAGATTCTAGTTTCAGAAAAAAAAATACTTTCCAACAGGCTGAATCCACACAGCTCTTGAGTAGTCTTTATTATGAGAAATTGTATTAACCACCCCCCACCCTGTTCCAACACCTTCTGTGGCTCACTATTGCTCTCCAAAGAGAACTCAAACTTCTTGATCAGCATTCGATGGACTGCTCAACTCCCTATGTATTGGTATTCTTCATGCCCTTCTAAGTTTTTCTGCTGCCAGGAACTCCTTCCTGCATTGCTCGCCTGGCAAACTCCTATACATCCTTCAAGCCCCAGAGCTTATGTCCCCAACTCCAAGAAACCTTGACCTCTCCCTGACCCCATGCTTCCCTCAGTTGCTGAGTGAACCTGGGCAAATCGTGTAAGCTGTGAAATGGTAGAGGGAGGGGGAAATAACCCTCAGTTTGAGGTCTCAATACAACAAATGTCCTTCAAATGAATCAGGCTTTGGCATGGAGCTGGCTTTCAGTCAGTGCTCAATGTGTGCTTGATTTTATTGTCTTCCTCATGGATTCTGTGGTTTTGAGACTCTTGTTTTAAGCATTTTACTGTTCCAAGAATTTTCTCCCCTTGTGGTGCTAGGAATTTTAAGAACCCCTGGTTCTAAAATTATAAAAGTCTAAAATAACGTGGGCAGACAAAAGGCCTCTTATGCCCTGGGCTGACCCCCAGGGTAGCTAGAGCCAGGGTCTCTGAGGGGCGGTACTGTACACCCCCTAATTCCTCCCAATAGCCAGGGGGTGAGGGCTGGCAGCCCACTTGGGGGCAGAATGGATTTACCAGGAGGTGGATCAGCCCTTGTTCCAGGAAGGAGGAGGGAGCGGGTCTTGGCTGGGATGACCCACAGATCTGACGAGAGATGAACAGACTGGAGGTTTCTGGCTCAGGGTGGCTTCCTTCTACTGGAGACTCAGTTTCCTCATCCGGAAATTGGGGCCAAAATCTGGCCTCTTGGAGACTCACTACCTGGGGCTGGCAAAGGGGCTGAGTTGACGATTCTAAGCCCAGTACCAAGACTGGCTTAGGTTAGACCTCAGCCTGAAAGCTCTCCCAGGCCTGTTTCCAAGTAAGCCTTGAGGGGCCCCTGCTTACTCCTAGTCCAATCGTGACAGCAAGGGAGGGGGTCTCAGGAAGAAGCCCATGAGGACCCACCCTCAAGGAAGGGATACCAGGGCTGGGCTTACTACCCTCCCAAACCTGGTTGCTCTGCCTGGTAGCAGCCAAAACTCCAACACTTTCTCAATGAAAGGTATTTGACTATAGAGCCTGGCACCTCATCACCTTCAGCCTGGAACCCCAGCCAGCTTGGGCCCCGCCCCCACTCTGCTGCTCCCCAGGACCCATCAAGCAGTCCTGAACTGGACTCTGGAGGTAAACAGCCTGGTTCATGAGGCCATAGAAGAAGGGCTTCCCCTTCCAAGCTCTCAGATTAGGGTGTGGGTTACTGGGAGGTACCCAGGAAGTTCCTGATAAATGCCAGCCCCTGTCTAGTTGTCACAGCCTTCTAGGGCTCCCCAAAACTTGGCTCCTAAAGAACCCTGGGACCCACCTTCAGAAACCAAGCTGGTGTCCTTGGACTTGCCAACTTCTTCTCACCATGCTGGTCCCTGAGTCATCCTCAGGGCAAAGGGAATGGTGTTCTCAGGAAGGAGAGGAGATTGAGCAAAGGGTGCACTGGGGTGGGTCTGGGGGTGAGTTTAGCCAGATGGAAGAGAAGGGGGACATGTGGGCTGAGCGTTGACCCACATTGAGTACAATCTACTTGCCCCCAAGGTGGGTTCTCTCAGAATTTCTGGTGCTGGCAGATAGTTCTAGATGGACAGAGGGCAGGTAGGGGTTGGACAGACAAGTGAGAGGATGGGTTGGGGTGGTTTGTCGGGGGTGGGTGTTGAAGGCCAGGCAGGTCATGCACCAACAGACCCCACACTCCCTTGGACACTCCTTTCCCCCACGCCTCCCCTCCAGGCCTCCGAGTTTTCCTCATATGCTGCTAGGTGGGGCTCCAGGTTATCAGGACTCCTTCAGGACCTGGGCAGTCCTTAGCCAGTCCTTTCTGGGCCTCAGTTTCTCTGTCTGCAACATGGGAATGCCATCAGAACAGTGCCCATTCAGGGCACAGCAGTAAACAGTGGCTTTGGCCCTGCTGCCCCCAGGCTGATGGTTTTCCAGTGGTCACACGTGGCTGAGGTGTGGCCAGGCTCAGCACGTGGGGCCAAGGGTGGGGAAGTTGTGGCTGCTCTGGGGAAATTCAGGGGTGACAGAATGTGCCCAACCTAGCCCAGGGGCTTCCCTGCTAGGGCCCCTCCGTGCCTGCTTCAGCCCCAAGTGCACAGCCAGACGGGAGCCACTGTCCAGGGGAGCTGAGGACAGGGCAGCGGTGGCTTTGGTTTTCAGCTGTCGGACCTGCACCACAGGCTCCACAGCTCACACATGTCTCTGCATGCACGTGGACTGGACATGCATCTGCCACGTGGGGCTGCTGAGGTACCTGCACATGCATATTTGTGCGTCTCAGGCATGTTTCTGTGTGAAGGCGCATCTGTGCTAGGCGACCCAAGTCTCAGACACCAAGTTGGAAATGAAGCAATTTTAATTCAGCACTGAGCACCTACCCCAGCCTGGGGTCTCCAAGCACCAACTGCATGAGGACTGTGTTCCCTGCCCCAGCACCCCCACCCCCTACCCCCACTCACACCGAAACCAGCCCGCAGGGCTTATATCAATAAATAACTCCAAGAAGAGAGCTTGGGGCAGGAACCTCAGTAAAGCCCCAGTACAGCACCAAGTTCAACAGCAGGCAGGAACAGCATCTTGTCCAGAGAGGAAATCCCAAGGCCTTCCCTTGAACAACAGGGCAGAATATTTTAAATCAAGGTCAAGATCAACATAAAAATTGGAGACGGTTTAGCCAGAAGCCACCACATCCCACTATCCAGAGTGTGGGGCCTACAATCAGGGCCAACTCCAATTATCACCTGTTTACCTGTTGGGTTCTCCCCTAGATGCCCATGGAAACACTTGTGTTCTTTCTTTGATTGGTCCACCCTGAATTCTGGACAGGGGAGAAGCGAGAGGAAGGGGCCAGGATGGAACCCTGGGGCTGGGCTTTGCGGGTAGGAGGAGACAGGGGAGGCAGTAGGAAGCTGTGGCAGGTCACTGCTGAGCTCTGCCCCGTCGGGTTCGGAGGGGACCAACAGCCTGAGCCTGTGCTCTGGCCACTTGTCCCATTTCCCGGCGGATATCATCCAGCGCCACTGCTGGGGACTCTAGCAGCCGCTGGAAGAGGTTGGGCCGATCTGCAGGTGGCTCCTGGCACTGGAAGGTAACCGCGGTGCCAGCGTTGGCCTTCATCTCCCGTGAGAAGCCGTCAGAGGAGCCGTCGAAGCAGCGACCGATGGCAATCTCCTTAGCCAGTCTCGGGCTCTGGTCAGTGACGGTGTAGACACCATAATTGTGGCCCAGGGGGTCCAGCGGGGCCAACATGGCAAAGGCGGTGGGGTCATCCACTGGTGCTAACGGGGGATGCCTGGCCAGGTAGTCCCTCAGCAGTGTGTTGATGGCTGTACGGCGGCAGCTGCCTTGTGGTGTGATGGTCACCAGCGTTCTGTCCGCCTGTTGCTGGTCGAACAGCATCCCGCTGCACTTGAACTCTACACAGGCGGCAGATGTGCCTGGTTGCTGGGGGTCCCGGACGCTGCGGGCATCCCGAAGGCCATACAGCTGGCTCTGAGTACGTGGATGGCTGCCCCCGGCACTGTGGGCACGCACCATGTACTCCTGGGGGCCCTGGATGCGCACCTTGAGGAAACAGGCCCGGAACTCCTGGGGGTTGGGCCACCAGGCCAGGTAATCACTGGTCCAGGAGGCAGGTGCACCCTCACGAAAGGGCACCACGTTGTACTCATACCTGTCAGCCTCCACGCGGGCAAAGCGGAAGTGGTTAGCAGTCACAGGGGCCTCCTGGCACTCCCTCAGGCTGCGCCATGGGTACACAGGCCCACGGGCCTCAGCAGAGTTGCCGGACCTGGGCTTGGCCAGGTTGATTCGGAAACCATTTCGCTTGAGGGCAGGGTCCTCGTGGTCTGTGCGCCTATAGCCCAGCCTGTCCAGGTAGGGCTGGGTGACACCCACGGCAGACGGGAGTGGGCGGGGCCGAGAGGGCGCTGGCTCTAGCTCCTCACCCCCCAGGGTGGCGGTGACAAGGGCAGTGTAAGCATCTGGCTGGTCTTCATCACAGAAGGCAGGGAGGCAGGCGCCATTGGGGCCCGTGACAGCACTGTCGAAGCGGCCCCAGGCACGGGGATTGGCTGAGAAGCCGGGCGCAGGTTCCAGATTGACCAATGTCACAACAGCGCCCTCCACCTGCTCGCTGGGTGCAAACTTGTCATTTGCGTAGACACGTACTTTCACGAAGCAGCGACGGCGTTCAGGCACGTCCAGGTTGAACAAGCGCCGCTCACGAATCTCCAAGTTACCCACCAGGAAGGCTCGCTCCTCCCTCCGAACCCGGGAACTGGCAGGTGCCTCCCGCCTGAAGCTGCTCTCCTCCTCCCACAGGCCTGTGTTGGGGTCCAGTGACCAGAGCCTGAGCGCCTCAGCGTGGCCGGCCATGTGGATCTGTTCAGCAGCCACACGCACGGTCACAGGCCCCACCTGCAGCTGCTCTCCAGAGCTGGCAGCATGGAGGTCCACTGAGAACATGCCGTAGGTGCGCAGGGGTGCTAGCTCCCCATCCTGGTCCAGGAAGCGCAGATCACTGGGGGCAGCAGCTGCAGAGGTCAGGTCGCGGGGGTCCACAAAGGTCACCCGGGCCTCCACAGCACCCACATAGGGCCGGCCATCGGCAAATCGGAATGCCCCTGGAGGCAGGACTAATTCTCCCATAGGAGCCTCATCCCCCAGTTCACCAAGTGGGATCCTGTTGCTTTGAGTGGCATCCAAGATGACCGGATCTCGCTTCCGCATGGCCTTGACCTCGTGGTACACACCAATGCCCTGTGGGTCAAAGGGCAAAACCCTGACAGCATCCACAAACTCACCACTGAGATCCAGGAAGGTCAGTACTAGGCGCTCTGGGGATGGTGGCGCCTCAATGGTGAAGTCACCCTGGTAAGAGGTGAAGCCAATAGCATCTCGACCCAGCAGGATACGGGCAAAACGCAGGGGCTCCCCAGTGTCAGCAGCCACCACACGGCCTCGGATCAGACCCTGAGGGGGTAGGCACTTCTGGCAGCCACACTCAGCCACCACTTTTACCGGAAGATCATAGCCAGAACAGCGGACGACCTGGCTCTGCAGGCGACGCACAGAGCAGCATCGGATGCTAGTGTCCCCACACCGGGGGCTGGAGCCCACAGGGCCAGGGCAGGGCACATCAGGGCAGCGGCCCACGTCCAGATAGGCAGGACTGCCATCTGACTGACCACAATCATCTGGGAGCTTGATCAGGTGCTCTAGGGGCAGTGGATCACAGGCGGCCTGGCCTGGGGCTGAGGGCAAGAAAAGACAGCAAGGGCTTTGTCTAGGGTTACGTACTCAACTCAGGGGTCAAGGCCAACCCAAGGTTAGAACATCACCCAGGTAAGGACTCAGTCCAGGGTTAGGGCTCAGAAGGGCCTAGGATTGGGGCTCTGGAATCCCAGGGCTTAATCTGGGGTCCAGGTCAGCCTAGGGTTGGGGTGCTCACCCAGCACGGTCAGCCAGGCAGTAGCTGAGCGGACAGCACCTGCGTCATTCCAGGCCTTGCAGTGGTAGGTGCCCGCCTGGTCCGGGTGTAACCCTCGCAACTCCAATTGGGTCCCATAACCAAGCTCTCTCCTGTCTATCAGGGTTCCGTTGTGGAACCTGGGTGGTAGGCAGGAGACAGGCACAAGGTCAGTATCCTCACTCACAAAAGGGGTTCCCACCCACCTGGCAGAGCCTCCCACTTTCCAGAGTGGGAACCAAGGCTGCAGTTACTTCCAAAGGTCTCTGAAGACCAAGTGTCATGGGGAGTCTGCTTCAACCCCAAGGTGGCACAAAGGCCCTTGGGCACGGGGCGAGCCTCACCAGGCGTATTTCTTGGGTGTGGGGGTACCCGCGGCTTTGCAGCAGAAGGTCACATTCTGGCCTGCCACTCGTACCCGAGACTCAGGATGCTTCATCAGGTAGGGCTTCTCTGGGGGGTGGGTGAAGAGGTCAGGGCCCTGCCCCTCCAAGCCCCCTTTCCAACAACCCCATCCCCCAGTGATGGTGTGGCAGCTGACCTCCCCAGGAATCTCACTCTGCACCTGCTCCCTTCCCCCTCCTCAGTGCTCTGTGCCACCTCAAATTTCTTCCCTGTTCCCTCAGCACACTGGTGTCCCTTACCCCAAAGTGCTTACCTAACTTCCCAAGAACAACAGTAACCACAGCTGAGATGGAGCTGTTGGCCTGGGCCTGGGCCACGCCTACAGAGAAGCCGGCCATCTGGGCACTGACATTGGCCTGACTGCTGGTACAGATGCCGGGCACCCGGAAGGTTCCGTGGGCATCACTGGTGGCCACAGAGCCTGGGCGGCCTCGAAGGAAGACCTTGGCTCCTGGCAGTGGTCGCCCAGATGGAGTGACTACCGTGCCCAGGAGAACGTGGTCAGGGCACCCACAGATGTTAGGGCTGCTGCACCCTGGGGAACACAAGGAACAGCAGGGCAGAGGGACCCTGGGAAGAGCTTGCGTTCTCAGGCAGTCATTCAGCAAACAGGCCCAGATCCCCGCTCTGCCCTCTCAGAGCAGCTCCTAGATTGAAGGCGAGACACATAGGGTCCAGAGGGGAGTTGAGAGAGGAAGGTCTTTGAGAGGCAGAGAAGCCCCTCCATCAGGAAAGAAACCATTCAGGCAAGGGTTGGGAACCCCGTTAGGAGATGAGTCTTGTGGGCTCAGAACATTTTCCTCCCCTCACAATCCTGCTTTTTCTCTATAAAATGGAAAATTCCACTGGAAACAAGGGCAGAGGCACGGGGAGGACCCCACCACCCCATTGGCCACCGGGCTCCCCCACCCCATCACAGCACTACAGGCTGGGGACGCCAGACCATGTTTATGGAGCACAAACCAGGCAGAATTTCCAGTCGCCTCCCAACCATCCTGGTGTCTGCCAGGGTGTGAGCGCGTGTCTGCGTGGGCGCAGGGCCCGGGCCGAGCTGCATATGAGCACGTGCACCAGGGGAGTGTGGACCCCGCTCCGTGCAGAAACCCCCACAAAACAAATGGGAAACCTGGCTTTTGCTCTGCCTAGGGCTGCACACGTGGATTCTGTTAGAATCCACCACATAGATATGCACATTTGCTAGTGCCAAGGAAGGAGGGCGTCCTGGTATGGCGCTGTAGGATAAGCACCGGACTTCGGCAGTTCAGAACTACCAGTCACTTCTCGTAAACCCTATAGTAGGAATGACTCGGCAGCACTTAACAACAGCAACAACAGGTGGGAAGGAGCTGACAGTCTCCAAGGGTCCCCAGGATTCTGGCCCTTCAGACCCTCTCCCACCTAAGTTCCCACCCCTCTCGACCCCGCCCCTAACCATTAGGCACCACCCCTAACAGACCCTACTCCAGGTGTGAGATAAAGCACTGGAACGCAAAGTCGATTTGAACCACAAGGTTGGAGGTTCAAACTCACCAGCCGCTCCTTGGAAAGCCTAAACAGGGTCGCTATGAGTCAGAACTGACTCGATGGCACTTAACCACATCAATCCTCCTAACCCTCCCCTTCGACTCCAGTTCCCCTAGTTTCCTCTCCAGTCCAGGCTCCTCCTCAGGGGCGTCCCCCCGCAAAGGCCCCTTCCCTCCCAGGTCCCGCCCCCAACCCTCGTCTCCAGACTTCGCCCCGCCCCAGACCCACCTCTCCCCAGGTCTCACCCCTCTTACCTGGGCACCGAGGGCGCACACATTTCTGCGCCTCCTGCGGACGCCCGGGACACGTTTCCTCTGTTGGGCAGCTGCGACGGCGCAAGCGACGACCTGGCCCACAACTCCCCGAGCATGGACCCCACGGGCCCCACGCGCCCCACGAGGCTTCTGTGGGGTGGAAAGGAAAGAGAGTCAGGTGGCCACCAGCCCAGACACCCCTGCGCCCCTAGACACACCTGTGGAAGGCTCCCTATCTCCTTGACCTCAGATCAGCTCCCCAAGGTTCAGCCTCCTGGACCCCCGCACCACGCACATACGGGGTTCAACAAACGCCTCCGAAAGCTGGAGCGAATACCGAGGAGTAAATGAGGGTGTGGGAGGGAGTCGCGCTACTCCGAGCACAAGGGGCCCACCCGGACCGTCTCTTTCATTCCACCCACCCGTTTTCAGACTCCTGGTGTGACGCTGAGGATCAGTACCGGACTGTGAACCACAAGGTCGGCGGTTCAAACCCACCAGCTGCTCCTCGGAAACCCTTCATAGGGTCACTAGGAGTCAGAAGTGACTCGATGGCACTTAGCAACCACAACCTGTCTCTGTTGGACCCCGACCCTCCCCGCCTCGCCCAGCCACATCATGCCCCACCCTCACCGATGGGACAGCGAAATCGCACGTGGTAGTTGGAGCAGCGGCGGCCGCGCGGTTGCTCTCGATTGAGACACCAGAATCCACGCGTGGGATTCAAGTGTACTCGCTCGCCGACGGTGGCCGGCAGGGCCCAGTCTGTGGTGCGTGCCTCCAGCGCCAGTGGTTGTGGGCACACGCGCGCTGGCCCGTAGTAAAAGCGGATAGCCGCCAGGCTCTCGAAGTCTCCATCACCACCAGGATGGTCTACGTTAAACCAGGACGTCCACTCACTGGCCTCTAAAGACAGAGAACACGTTGGAACTCGGACTCGGCCTGGCGGCCCCCATCACCCAACCCAAATCTGACAGCACAGCCCCTGTCCGCCCGGCAACCCCCGTGTAGCAAGGATCCTGCTGTCTGATCCCCCGCCCGTCTGACCAGCCCCGGCTCAGCCTGCCCCCCACTCTCAGCATTATTTCTGGGGTGTGAGGAGCTGTAAACTCAGCAGGGGAGACTGGTCAGCGACCAGCCCTGGTTTGGGTTGCCCCTGCCCAAATGCTCCCCATTGACGCTGTACCTTGTTAATGGCCCAGCCGCACCCACCTCAGCACCCACCAGGCAGCTCCTGTTGCTAGGAGGCCAGAAGATCAGGGGTGAGCTGGCCCACCTCAGGTTAGCCCTGTCTTCTGCTAGCATCACACACCATGGGTGTTCACCCCTTTCCCCAACTAAAAAGCAGTCCGTAGATCGGGGTCCCAGTTTCCAGAGCACAGCCTCCCTGACGACTGGGCAAGTTGTTTTGCCCTTCCAGATTACATACACACACACACACACACACACTCACACACTCACTCTTTCTCTCTCTTCTTCTTCTTCTTCTTGTCCAAGCCTTACTTAGATTTCTTGGGGTACCATTGCCAGTGGCTGTCAAATCCAGGGACCAAGAACAGCCCTGGGTTCTTCACCACCATGTCCTCTCCTCACATGACCCCTTCACCCAGCTCACCCAGTAGGACTGGACTTGGACCCTGGCTGACTCACCTTCCCAGTCCTCCAGGGCTGATGAAGGCTGGCCAAGGGGTGGTGACTGTCTGTGGAGCCCCCACAAGGTCCCAGTCGGCCCCTCAGTGGGGAAGAGATCTGTGGGAGGGGTGAGCAGGGGGAAGGATGAATATACCACTCATGTAGGGTGCTATCTTGACATTACGTTTTACAAGAGAGAAAAAACAGGCTCTGAGAGGACAGAACCCATTGACTGGCCCTGGGGACCACAGTGCCCCCTTCAGAAAGAAAGCCTCCTGGTAATCCTTTGCAGACTCTCCCTCCTTCTGACCCAGCCCTGAGCCCATTGAGTGGGGCAACCTGTCTGACTCTATTCCCAGAGGCCCCGTAGTGTCTCCCTCCTTGGTGGTTTGACCTCCTGGAGTTCAGTCGACTGAGTTTTCCCCCTCAGGCTGGACTGCATGCCCCCTTCTCTATTTATGGCCAGGAAGCCCCTCTTGCGTCCACCCTCCATATTCGACATCTTTTAATTTAGGACCCAAGTCCTCCCTGAAATCTAGCCTGCCCTTTCAGGCCTCTAGATGCCCAGGGGCGTTGATGTGGTGACTTCTGATAAGTCCCTTCCCCTTCGGAGTCTCAGTCTCCACATCTGAGAAATGGGCCATCCCCTGCCCCACTGAGAGCCTCAGAGAAGGGATTTCTCCTCTGGGCAGTGTAGGTTTGGTGGGCCTGTGACCCGGAGACGTCAAAGCTCCCAGAAATCGGGAGCGGCCTGGTGTACTTGCACTCCCGCATCCCTGCCATCTCTTCGAGGAGGGATGAGATAGGTCCTTCACCACGGTCGGCCACGCGGATCGGATGCCCAGTCACCCTGGCCCTTGGGAAGTGCATGGACCTCTTGGTCCTCGCTCCCGACGGGGTTGGATTCGGAGCTGGCCGCCAGGCATGCGGCGCCTGAGAGACTGAGGGGTCCTCACCTCGGGCCCCCGCCAGGTGCGCGGCGACGATGCAGAGACAGAGTAGTGGCGGCAGTGATGCCATGGCCGAGTCCGAACGTACGAAGGAAGATCTGGGCTCGGTGGCGCGCTTCGCCAGTCTCCTACTGATCTGACGGCTGCTCCAGGCTGAGGGTGGGAGCGGGAGGCGACGTCAGGCCCCGCCCCGTTCAGGTCCCGCCCCCTGGCGCTGGGCTCCTTGGGGCATGCGAGCAACCTCTCTGAGTCTCCCCACTCGGTGCGTCTGGTTGGACTGCATTACCCCTTCTCCCATCTGTCCAGAGGGAAGTCCCTACTTGAGACCATCCTCCGTCCCTCCATTTGCAGCCTAAATGGCAGGCTGGAAGTCCTTGGACCTAGTCTGGCCTCGAGTTGCCTAAATCTTCGCGTTGTAGTCCGGTTTTTTAGACTGGCTGGTAATCCTTCCCCACTGATTCCATCCATTTTGGGACCAGCCCAAGGAGCCTGGAAGTCCTACTCTGAATATACCATTCATTCTTCTGGTTGGATTTTTCTGAGGCCAACGGGAAATCCTTTCAAGAGTCAACCCTCCCTTCCCCCTACCTAGGGTCGGGGTTGGTGGTGGCAGGAAGTCCCACCTTCTGTGTACCCCTCATCCTTCCCTCCCGGCGCCGCAGGAGGACCAGTGGAAAGTCCCTCTCGGAGTTTGACCATCCCCATCCCGGCCTAAGCGCACAAAGGAGGAGTCGAGAATGGGGGCCGGGAGAAGGGGGGATGTCTGTTTATTGGTGAAGGTTTGAAACAGCGAGTGTCGGTTACAGCGCCACAACGCAGTCAGTGCCCGTGTATCCTAGCAGGCGAAGAGCGAACTTTCGACGCACATCGTCGGGCACGAACCTGCCAGCCACAAAGTGGTGGCGCCCGGAAAAACGGCCAGCGCATTGCTTAGGGGCCACAAGCGACACCAGCACATCCGGACGTAACCCGTCCTCAGCGTCATTGCCAGTTTCTGCGTCCCAGCCTGAGGGAGGAGGGGAAGTCGGGAACTGGAAGGCTTGCATACTTAGACTAGGGTCCTGCCCCCTGCCTGCCTGTCCCTACTAAATAAAGGGCTTCCCTCACCCCCATCTTAAGCTGGGTACTGAGGCTAGCGCCCTCCCCCCCCAGAGTCTCAGTCAGACCTGCCTCCCCAAGGAATAAGCCTCTGCCTTGGGACCCCCCCTACATCCCTTCCCATCTGACCCAGCCTTTGCCCTCAGACCCCATCATTTTTACCTCTTTCCTTCCCTTTACAGGTCGGATGGGTCCCTCTGGCTCTGACCTGACTCTCTCAATCAACTCTGAGCCCCTTCCCCACTTAGAATTTTCAAGCAATTCCCACCCCCACCCCCCACAGCCTTCTGCTCTGTAACTCTCTAAAAGGACACCCCTGAGGTTCCTGGAGCTGAGGGACCATCCCTGACTCCAGCCACCTCCACAGAGGGTCCGGCTGGCCAACGGCTGTTTGTTCCGTCTGCCCGTCTCCTAATAGTTCCAGCAGGCATGGGGCGGCGGCCAGGGCGGGTGCGGCGTTTGCTGAGTGAGCTCACGTCTGCCCCAGCAACTAGGCTGGGGTGGGCATCGGGCATGCAGGGCAGGGTAACGGAGGGCAGCCAGGGTCACTGGGTTCACTGCCTTGGTCTTCCCCATCCACAGGATGGGTGTGGCTCTTGGGCCTCAGCAAGTGTACATTCCATCCATGCTGAGGAAACTGAGGCTCAGAGCAGGCAGACCAGCCAAGGTCACCAGAAATGAGGTGTGGGAGCGCCCACCCATGTCCCCTCAAGCCAGAAGTGCCCCACCTGACCCTTCGTGCCTGAAGGGATGTCCAAGCTGACAAGGGGAATGGACAGAAGCTTGAGAGTGGTCAGCGCTCGTGTGCAGGGGCCCCCAACCTTGCCAGGTTCTGAGCCAGGGCCCAGCACAGCATCCACCACTAGCTTGTATGCATCATTGATGAGCTGGACCTACGAGAGCAGACAGGGTCAGTGGGCAGCCCTCAGGCAAAGTCTCCACCTCTGCCCTCACTGGCCCACCCTGGGCTGACCTCTGTGGGCAGGTATGAGAGGAAGGGGATGTCCATCTTCTCACACTGGGTGGTCAAGTCCTGGTGCAGTGGGTCTGGCGAGCGCACGGGGTAAAAGATGGTTGGCTCATACTCCTGGGTGGACAAGAAGTCAATGCTTGGGTCCTCTTAGACCCACGATCTATGTACCTGGCAGCAGACCCCACCCAGGGCAGACAGTGGGCATGTCCTGGAACCCAAGCCTGGATGTCCCCATTTTGAACATTAGCAACAGGAGGAAGCGATTTCTGTAGGGACCAGATGGGGATGCCCCTGAGAGTCCTGGCTACTCACAAACACCCGCAGATGCCGGGCACAGACCAGTCCCACTGCCCCGTTCTGCTCTGGGCCACATACAACCAGTACTGTCCTCTGCTTCCGGGAGAGAGCTGCCAAGGGGAATACCTGGAGAGGAAGGACACCACTCAGAAGCCTCCTTGCTCAAGTAGTGAAACTGAGACCAGGGACTGGAGAAGACCAGGTAATTGGGACTGGAGGCAACAGGATAATATATTGTTGTTGTTAAGTGCTGTCCAGTCAGTTCCAACCCATAGCAACCCTGTACAGGGTTTCTAAGGAGTGACTGATGAGCTTGAACCACCAATCTTGTAGTTCAAATGGCTTTGCAGTCTGGCGCATTAACCCACAGTGCCACACCAGAACTCATAAGATAGTATTGTTATGTGCCCTGGGGTCGGTTCCGATTCATAGAGACCCTGTACAGGGTTTCCGAGGCTATAAATCTTCACAGGTGCAGAAAGCCTCATCTTTCTCCCACGGAACAGCTGGTAGGTCCTTTTGAGGCCTCAGTTTCTCTCTTGTCCCAGGCTCTGCCAAGCCCATGTAAGAAAACATGCCTCCTGCCACCCGCCCAATACAGAAGTGTGGTTTGTTTATTCTCTACTTGGCTTGCAGACATTCTTCCACCTTTTTCCACCACAGTGATTTCCTCCGCCCCACTGTCTTTCCAGGCCTCTGGCCCTCCTGGAGGCTCTGAAGTCAGGGGAGGAATTTTTCAATCCAGTAATACCCTGGTGCCTCTCTCTGTCTGCTTCTATCTCAAATACCTGTCTGCCTGCGTATGCATCTCTCTTTACCTTAGGAGTTAAGAGTGTTAGTATTTGAGGTGTCCAGCCCTGTTCTGACTCTGTGTAGCCCTCGGCACCTTTTTCCTCCCAGCCTCGGTTTTTCTTCTATCCAGAAGGAATACCAATGGCCTGGTAAGCACATAGGGCAAACATCCCATCTCCTGAGTCCTGGGGTGGTTCTGGGGGGATCCTGCTGCATCTAACCTCAAACTATACAGAGAGCAACTCACTTCCCTTTTGAGACTCCTTTTCAAGGCCTCAGGTATCTTTGACATGCCGTAGGTGACTCTGACCAGGCTCCTAGTCCCAAACCCCTGACCACATCTAGGGATGCTAGGCTCTCAGTGGGGAATTGGAGCGGTAACCCCTGAGCACCAGGTGAGAGTTTAATACCCTGGCTTTGCTTCCTGACTCTGCTTTGGATCCTTTCCTAATTAACTGTGCTGTTCATTACCCCTCTTTAGAGGAAACACAGGCACAAAATAGTTTGGCCACATGACAAAGTGCTCCCTGGTGCCATCTTTACTGCTATTTCTCTAGCCTACCCTCACAGGCACTGCCCAGGGCCGGGTGCACTTGACTTGGAACTACAGCTCTGCTTCTGACACCCCCCTTCTGCCCGGGGCACAGGGTTGTTTGGGGGCCCAGACTGCAGCAGTCAGTATCTCCGGGACCCACTGTGCAACCACACCTACAGGAGGGATCCGCTCCCACTGCCAAGGGTCCTAACATAGTAATGTTACTGCTTAGCTTTCGTGCCTCTAGGGGTTCCCACCTCTGCTCTGACCCCCGCGAGTCCCCTGGATTTTAAGTCCCTTCTGGGCCTCATTTCCTCAGTGAGGGGCTGGACAGTTCCAAGTAGAGGGGTCTCTTGGGGGATGGACAGTTCTGGTCATAGGGGTCATGCAGCTGGGTCTCAGCTTTAGTGGGTTGGTGGTCTGGCTGAGGTCAGGGTACCTTGGTCACAGCCACTGCACTGGCATGGCCACACAACTCTGCCAGCTGCTGCCGTCCAAAGCGGTAATCCTCGAGCAGCTCCCGCTCCAGGGCAGCTGCCTCGGCTGTGCTGTGGAACAGAGACGAAGGACAGATGCTCAGAGACATAGGAAAGGTGAAGAGACCTCGAGACAGAGACTCAAAGGGAGTGCCCCCCTCCATTGTTCCAAGACAGACCCTGACTCTTTTACTGGCCCCTGACAATAGTACAGTCTCTGAGCTGAGGGCCTTCTCTCAGTTTCACCAATTTTATGGAATAAAATTTGGTAGGCAGCAGGCGGTTTCACCAATGTCAGTGTGACTGCGCTCCCTGGTGGCCTCAAATGAAAATGGCAATCTACCTTGGTTCTGTTGCCCTAAAGTTGAGGACACAGATGCCCCTGGTTCCCAGGGCAGGAGGGCCCCAAGCTGAGATTGGGGGCATCTGAGGGAGGTGGGTATTGAAAGATACTGAGGAGTTTGAAAGTTTACTCAGAGAGGTGAATGTGGGACATGCATCAATGAGATTCTCTGATAAAATAGTTGGGGTCAGAGATAAAATATTTGTGGCCAGGGAGACCAAGTTCAAGTTGAAGCTCTGCTACTGAATCGTTGAGTGACTTGGGAGGTCTCCACATCTGAGTGTTGCTTCTTTCTTGCCGTCTCCACAGAAGGAAATGCAGGGTTCAGTACTAAAATATTCAGGATGTCAAGACAATAGAACATGAAGCTAGAGATGAAGCCCTTCAAGGCACAGGGAGTAAGCCAGCCCTTCCTGAGGGGCTTTTATATGCCAAGCTTGGTGGTAAGAGAGGAAGAGGTGGCACTGAGGACCTGGGTTGTGAGGGGATAGGGGTCAGCTGGGCAGGATCTAAGTCTGATGCCAGCTTTTCTCAGACCAGGAGGACAGGGAACACTTGAACCTAGCTCAGTGGACACTGGGGGTCTGATAATAGAGATGACCACCCCTACAAGAATTTGGCAAACAACTGCCAGCTCAGAATTGCCAGTGCTTGCCCACGATTCCAGAGAAAGTAGGTGGGGCAGTCAGGTCTTCTACCATGGTCTTTAGAGCCGTGGCGAGTGGGCTTCTGATGTCGGAGGGTCAAGAAGCAAAACTAGATAGATAAATAGCATAACTTTGGCAGAACGAAATCTCAGGTTCCTTCCTTGGACACAACCTTCTGGCAGGATCCAGGGCAGAGCAGTGGGCAGAGTGGAGTCAGGTATGAGGCAGGGGGACTAGGAGGGTTGTAAGGCCACTTGGACAAGATGGCCAGGAGCACTGTGGGAGGTAGGCAGGAACAGCGAGGACACAAGTCCTCTGGCGGGAATGAGTCTGACATGTTCAAGGGGCAGAAGGGAATCTGGTGTGGCTGAAGCAGAGTGACAAGGGGACAGGGCAAGCAGGCCCTCAAACTCAGGGGTACTCATGCAGATGGGGGAAATGGGGCTACAGGCAGGAAGGTCACATGTCCTAGGCCGCTTCAGCCAGCAGAGCTGGATTTACACCCAGCTGGACTAGGCAGGTGAGGTGCTGTGGGTAAATGGGCTGGACTGCAAGGTCAGCAGTTCAAGCTCATAAGCCGCTCCTCAGACACCCTATACAGGGTCGCTATGGGTCAGAACCAACTTGAGAGCACTTAATGAAAAGCACTAGGCAGGTGGCTAATATAGGGTAAGGGCAAAAGCTCACAGTGGAGCCAGAAAGAGTGCTGACCCCGCAGGCTGGCCTAGGTCAGCTCCCGGAAAGAGCAACATCAGGTGGGCAGGGACTAGATTTCATTCCCCCAACTTGATCTTCTGACAGCTCCAGCTGCTGCCCATGAATGAAGGTGGGGAGAGGAAGAGGTGGGTGGGGGAATCATTTATCCCACCTCTTCCCCTCCCTCCCGAGGTCTTTGTCCTAAAGCCAGTTGGAACATAGTCTTCCTGTGTAACTGGTGATTAGAGTGAAAATGGGGACTGAGTGAGCAGAGGGCGGTCCAGGATAGAGGCCAAGCTGGTTGGGGTGAGGTGAGGGTGCAGTAGTGACTCCCAGGTGCGAAGGACAATTAAGACTAGGGAAGGGTGGGGGACAGGACAGGTCAAGCCCATTTTGTTGTGGTGGTACTGACTTTGGGGCGTCTCAGATGAGGATGCCTCTTGCTCCCCACAACCTTGGCCCAGGTAAGAGGAGCTTCAAGAACCCAGAATTTTGTTCCCCACCACCACCCACCCACCCTGGCCTCTGAAAGACTAAGTGATCTCGTTCCAGAAGGAAATGAGTGTAACACTGACACTTCGAGGAGGGTCACAAAGGTTGACTGAGGGGACGGGGTGTGCCCTTTTGGGGGCAAAGCCCTCAGGCCAGTGTGTGCATGTCAGACAGACCTCGGCATTCTCTCAAAATTCATTTGCTTCACTCTACCCTCACGCCTTTGCCCAACAGCCCACCATCATGGCCCACCTGGTCACCTACAGCAGTCTCCCACTCCCAAAATACCTCAACATGAGCTGAAGGGGACTTTGAACACTTGAACACCAAATTCCATCATACTCTGCCACAAACCCTCTTACAGCTCCTCCGTCATCAGAGAATGCAAGGCAAGCTCCTCACACCTCGGAGTCTGTCTCTCACCTCAGCACTTCTGTTCCTCCTCACTCACCATGTTCCACCTCCTACACACACCCGTAGAGCCCCATAAGTCCCCTCAGTTGGTCTCACACAACTGTTGTTGTTAGGCGACATCGAGTCAGTACCGACTCATAGCAACCCTATGCATAACTGCCTGATCCTGGGCCAACCTCACAATTGTTGCCACGCTTTTAGCCTTGATGCTGCCACTCTGCCAATCCATCTCACTGGGAGTCTTCCTCTTTTTCTCTAACCCTCCACCCTACCAAACGTGATATCCTTCTCCAGCAACTGGTCCCTCCTGACAATATGTCCAAAGTATGAGATGAAACTTCATCTCTCACACAACTAGCACCCCCAATATCACCAGGCAAAGTTACAGATGATAGAACATTCTCCTCCCCTGTCTACGACGTGCCAGGCTTGCTAGATAGACATCAGTCTTCGGACAACATCCACCCTGAGAAGAGCTGAGGACAGTGGGAAGCGGTTGAATAGTTAGGTACCCCTGGTCTGCAATGACCACCACTGCCCTGATGGGACCATGTTGTGATGGTCTGGAGAACACAGTTTGGAGGACACAAATGGACCACCAATCCCAACCCCAAATTTATCCGTCAAGTGACCCCTTTGTCCAAACTCTGTCCATCCTGGCTCCAGAGAAGCTTCCCTACTCCCATCTGTTTCCTCCTCTGGACAAAAGGAGAGTGGCTGGTGAACCACCAATAGTGGTTTAAGTTTGAGGACCTACTCTGGGCTACAGGGTCCCTGGAAGTATGGAAAGGGAGGGGGCCTGGCTGGGGTGGAAGTGATGAGGTTGGCCTCAAGGTGCGGAATACGATGCTAAATTATTATTCATGAAGGGGCGGGCCGGTCTTGGATAGTTTCCCTGGAAACGCAGGTTTCGGAAGGGTAGGCATTGGCAGAGCTGATCTCCACTAAGGAACCATGCCATAGGCTTCCGTTCCCCCAGGCCCGTTCTTCCTGGATTCCCCGCCCCAGCTCACCTGAGGAAACGCCGCTCCTCTGGCGTCTCTGCCAGGTCCGGGCCGGCAGCATTCATGGTCGAGTCAGTGTACTGAGCTGTGGCTGCTGCCACTGAGGCCGCCTTTTAAGTGCATTCCTAGGGGCGGGGCCCCTTCACCTCTCCCCGCCCACCTCTTCCCGCCCGCCAACCAGACAGCGCTGTCAAGAGGTTGAGCGCGACCATTGGTTAGGGGGTGCAGGTGTGTTTAACCCTTTTCTAGCATGAATGAAGCGGATTTAGGAGGCTGCGATGAATTCCCAGGTTGTTGTAGTTAAGTGCCTTGAGTTGGTTCCAACTCACAAAGACGACACTGTATAGAGTTTCTGAGGAGTATTTGGTGGGTCTGAACTGCCGACCTTGTGGTTTGCAGTTCAGTGCATATCCTACAGGTATTGGCAGGGAAATTCTAGTCTGGAGGGGATATGGAATCCTGGTTTGTAATCCAGGTGGTCCCAATCCCTCTAAATATGAGAAAAATTCCAGGAACCTGTAGCTCCGGTAAGCAGGATTTCAAGGGAAGGGAGGAAAGACACTTGGACTGGTACTGGGGCAAGAAAGGAGGTAGGAAATTTCAAAATAATTTAGAAGCTGACAACAAGACTGCTGGTGGAGGGGAGCACCCCAGGTGATTGGTGGCTCCAGCCCTCCTTGGTTTGGGGTCACCCCTGCATGCTTCACCAGGTCTAATCCCTTTGGCCAGCCATAGGTACCGAGTTCCACCACTCCTCCAGCTCCCTCGGCTCCGACAAGCCCCCAGAGCACCCCACAAGGGGGTGCAGACATCACGGACTCAGGCAGTTTCCAGAACCTTTATTCTCTTCATGGGAGTCGGGCGGGGTGGCAGCAGCTCCTACGTGTACAACACGAAGCCGTAGTTGGCACTGACAAGCTCCTCATCTGTGCGCAATCCATAGAGCTCACCCACCGTGGGGGTCACCCAGCGTGTCGTGTGGAACATGGACTCGCCCACCTATGAGACCACAGGGATGTGGGTGGACTGATGAGCTACAGCTTGAGTGGGCCTGCACGCCCACCCTCTTAGCCCCTGGGACCTACCTTCCAGTCAGGTACATCCTTCATGATGATGGCCTCCTCCTCCAAGTTCTCCCGCAGCATCTGCAGGACCCTGAGCAATGCGGTAGGAGATGGACCTAGGAGGACCTGCACCCCTGACCCTCCACACCCAGCAGCCCCTCTGGCTCTTACACATACAGTTCTCTCTGCCACAAAGTCTTCTCTCCGGAGCTCCCTTAACAATTACTCATCTCCCTGCCCCAGGCCTAACACCCCTTCCTCCAGGAAGCCTTCTCTAGACTCCCCTCCATGATCCACCCCACCCCAAGTTAAGTCTCCAACACCCTATTGGGTGAGTTTTGGGCTGGAACCCTGCTGCAGGTCTCCGCTACCTCCGGTCCTTCTCAGCCTGGAACAACGGCATCAGGGCGATGCGGGCCTCTAGGTCCTCGATCTGTAGACGCCTGTGGAAGCCGGACACCATCAGCTGTGGGGAGGCGGGGCAGCCACAGATACCCTGGTCTCCAGGGTGATGTGTGAGGAGCCCAGGGCCCAGGAAGGGGCATCTGCCTGGGGTGACCACGATGGGCAGGGAAGCAGGCCGGGGACATCATGACTTCCTTCCTCTCAGCAGAGGCCTAGCCGACTCTCCACCTGCTCTGCCTGCATTCATCCACCTGGTCCTCCCAGGACACAAGTTCCCCTCCGCCCTCAGACTGCAAGCAGACACCCAAGATGTCCCTTGGCTCCTACCTGCGCTCTCGGTTCCACTTCATCATCCTCCAATACCCAAAGAGCAGAGTCCCAATGCCCACAGCAAACATGCTATAGCCTGTGGAGAGAGGGGTAATGGCTTTACCTTGAAGATCAAAGGCTATGCTTGGCCATAACCCAGGACTCCTTCCAGAACCCTCAGGACACTTCCTCATATCCACCCATGTCCAGCTGCACCTTCTGTGGACATCATCCCTCTCAGCACAGTGTCTGCAGGCCCTGGGCATGACAGGCACTTGGTGTTCAGACACTGGCTGCCACACTCCTTGGCCCATGTACCAGGTTTCTGGAAGGTTCCGGTCTGCCAGGACCTGCTGGCAGAGGGACTAGAAGGTCCTCTAGAAGGTCACCCTGTCTCTGGTCTGACAGTGTCCTTGGCCATCCCAGCTCCAGGCAACCCTAGCTCTCTGGGTTCCCTCTGTGCTCTACCCAGAGGGGGCTGCCTGGAGCATCTAGAAGCAGCCGGTGCCCTGCAGGGGTAGCCCCAGCGCTGGGACTGCAGGGCTGAGCCCCCTGCCCTGCACACTGGGGGGGGGGGGCAGAGGTTTTCATGAATATTTATGAGCACCAGCAGGTGCTAATCCTGACAGACAGCTGGGCCATCCTGGGTGCTGAGAGGAATCAAGGGACTAAGGCAAACTGGGCTTCAGGTCCAGCTGCCATCGGGTGCCGGAGTAATACATGTTCCAGAGAGTTTCCTATAGTTGATTTTTCACAAGGAGATCACCAGGCCTTTCTTCAGAGATGTCTCTGTTGTTGTTAATTTCAGTGGAGTCTGTTCCAACTCATAGTGATCCTGTATAGGGTTTCCAAGGAGTGCCTGGTGTGTTGGAACTGCTGACCTTGCAGTTAGCAGTCCAGTGCTTATCCTAAAGTGCCACACCAAACTCTGGGTGAACTCAAACCTCTAACCTTTTGGTTAACAACTGCAAGTTAACTATTGCACCACCTAGGGACTTCAACCAGTTACCAAATAAATTCTGATGCATGACAATCCCATGGGGTTTCAATGGCTGATTTTTCTTAAGTAAAATTCTTCTGAGGTGCATCTGGGTGGATGTGAACCTCCAACCTTACAGTCAGTTGCCGAATGCATTAACCACTGCACCATTCAGGGCCTCTAGGCTTTAGTGGCTAGGAAATAATTGACTAGCCAACAGTGGGGAAGGCCCTGCCTAGGCTGCCCTGTCTATCTTCCAGTGGGGTGTGGAACAAGAGCAGGAGGTAAAGGACAGATCCCTCAAGCTCACCTGCTACAAACAGCTCAGGTTTAAGACAGCTCAGGGGTAGTTGTGAGGTACCTGGCCCTGTGCTCAGAGGCAGTACCCAAGTCCCTTTAGCTACCCCTAGGCAACTCTGTGTGTTTGGTGTTGATTCAGCACATACAAGTGCTCCTATACCACCATGGTGTTTACAGCATGTTCTCCCAGGAGAGGAGTTTCTGATCAGAGCTGCTTCATTCCAGTCTCATTCCGGGGGTGGGGGGCCTCACCTTTCACTAGGCCTGTGTCCAGCCTTCCAAAGACCCTCATACCTAGACACCCGTGTGAGTCTGTCTGAAAGATAAGTTCTAAGAAAGTGGCAGTAGTACCCTCTTATCTGTATGGTGTCCATGTGGGCTGTCACTCATCTGCACTGGCTGAAGAAACCAGAGCCATGGGGGGTGGGAGGACTCAGCCTTGGGAGCTGCCAGTCTGATACGGAAGGCATGCGGACCCCTCCCAAAGATCTAAGTGAACAGCATGACATCCATGTGCTGGGACTGTGCCCGTGAGGATGGCAGCACTCCTACACTGGTGTAATGCGGCAATGCATTCTCTCTCAGTAGGCTGGCAATCCTGTTTGCAGAAAGTGACAAGCAGACCGTACACTTCATAGGGAACTGCAAACCAACAGACACCCAAACTCACTGTCACTGAGAGAATCATAGCTCACAGACATCAGACAGAAAAGAAGAATCCTCTAGGGTTTCCAAGGTGGTTAAGTCTTTATGGAAACAGATTGCCACATCTTTCTCCAGAGGAGCAGCCAATGGGTTCAAACTGCTGATCTTTTGGTTAGCAGCTTAGTGCCTAACCACTGTGTTACCAGGGCTCCTGGAATTGCAAGGGACTGAGACTAGCCAAAATAATCTTGAACATGAACAACAAAGTTGGAGGACTCTCACTTCATGGGTTCAGAATTTATTACACAGCTGCGGCAAGACAATGTGGCCCTGGAGTAAGAATAGACAATCCAGATCAATGGAACAGAACAGAGAGTCCAGAAATAAACCATACACTTATGGTCAATTGATTTTGGACAAGGGTGCCAAGTACATTCAATGGAGAAAGAATTTAATCGGGGAAAAAAACAGTTTTTTTAACAAATGGGACAACTGGATCTGCACATGCCTTACCCCATGCACAAAAAGGAACTCAAAATGCATCAGAGACCCGAATGTAAGGTTAGGGTAAAACATAGGAGTAAATCTTCAGGGCTCTGGAAGTGACAATGGTTTCTAAGATCTGACACAAAAAGCACTTGTGAGCAAAGATAAAAAAAAATAGATGCACTGGACTTCATCAAAATGGAAAATTTTTGTGGTGCAAATTGTATTGTTAAGAAGTAAAAAGAACTAAAAAAAGGTAAAAAGAACTCCCGGAAAGGGAGAGAGTGTTTACAAATCATCTGTCTGCCAAGTGAAAAAAGATACACAAATGGCCAACACAAACTTGAGAAAAATACTCAGTATTAGTCATCAGAGAAATACCACTCAGAAGAACAATGAGATTCCACCTCATTCCCACTAGGATGACTACAATCTAAAAGTTAGCTAACAACAGGCATTGTTGAGAAGGTGGAGAAGCTGTGCCCTCTGTGCACCACTGGAGGGAATGTGAAGATGAATGAGCAGGAGCTGGGGAAACAGGCTGGTGAATGAAGCCTCCAGATGCTAACCATGGAGTTACTGTAGGATCCAGCAGTTCTACGCCCAGTACTACACCCAATGAAAACTTAGGTCCACAGAAAAACGCAGGCATTAAGTGTTCACAGCAGCATCACTCCTAATGTCCATCACTAATGAACGAATAAACAAAATGTGTCCATACAATGGTGCCACCAACGGAATCACCCATTCATATGAAATGTCCAGAACAGGCAAATCCACAGACAGAGTAGCTTAGTGGTCCCCAAGGGCTGGGGGTGGGGACTAGTGTGTGACTGCTGATGGGTCCGGGGATTCGTCCTGAGGGGATGACAATGTTCTCAAACTGTGGTGAAGAGAGAATATAACCTGTGTAGGTACCGGTGTGATCTTTAAGTGCCTTTAGGTTGGTTCCAACGCATGTGATCCTGTATGGGGTTTCCGAGGAGTTGCTGGTGAGTTTGAACCGCCGACCGGTGGTTCAATCTGACCTTGAAGTCTAGTGCTTCCATCTCCTACAGCTCCACATCACGTGTCGTACTCAAGTGTACTAAAAACTTCAAATGAGTGAATCGTATGGGTGTGTGAATTATAGCTCAATAAAGATGTCAAATAGAAGCATGATGGCTCTGTAAGACAAGCAATGGGTTGTGAACCACAAGGTTGGTAGTTCAAGCCCACCAACCACTCTGCTCCCACAAAGACTTATAGCCTTGGAAACCTTATACAGGGTAGCTATGAGTTGGAACCAACTCGACAGCACTTCACAACAACAAAAATGTTAAAGACACAGAAATAAGGCAGTGCCTGGGCTGGGCTGAGGAAGGGGTGGAGAGCTGGAGAGCACTAGGGTGGGAGGACCGAGAAGTAGCGATGGGGTGGGAGGCACTCCAGAGCACTCTGGAATAATGAACGCACCCGGGCAGCCTGGCATGTTCTGGTCACTGGTGGGGAGTGGGTGTCAGGAGGGTGAGTTGACAGAAGGAGGGTGAGTTGCAGGGTTGGGGGCTCTTTCACAGAGAGGTGCTCCTTGCCACCTTGGCTAACAAAAGCTCCCTTATCCTCACAAATGAAATTTCTTGTAACATTATTTGTCCCCTAGCTAAGCTGAGAGTCCCTCTAGGCAGGAAGTGGGTCTAAATAGGGCCATGAAAGAAGGGGGCAATCTGGTGAGGGGTCATGGGCAAGCTGCTTACTCATTGACAAAAGTCACACCATCACTGAGCAGAAACCTCAAGGGGTTCTTTATTACAGAGCACTGACTGGAAAAAAGCCAGGTGAGCCTGAATGTTCTACAGGCACATTTTAATGTCAAGACCCCAAAAGAGGCTCAGGGTGAAAGGCACATTTGCAACTTAAAAATCAAAACAGTGAAATGCAGACGGGTCTCTTGTGATACAATAGTGAATAATTGTTATCAGGACTGATTGTGAGGGTTGTAAATGTAAAGGTAGACGTTTTATAGCAAGGAGGGGAGTGATTAACTTTTCAGTCTAGGAGCGGAGATTCCCTAGGACCATCAAGGGAGAAGAGCAGACAGCGGGACCCTACCCAGAGAAGCAGTGATGCCTGAAATGGAGCCAGAGATGATGACATGGAGCGATGGAGCAGCTGGAGACTTTAGATCCAGAGAGGGAGAGCGACTGTGTGCTGAAGACCTGGGGGGTACGGGGGAAGGATTGCATGGAGGGGATTGTAACCATGGCAATGAGACGATATACGATAGAATGAATGTAAAACCAATGTTCTCCCGTGTAAACTATCACATAATTCACAATAAAACATTTAAGAAAAAAAAAAAATTACCAGAAAAAAAAAAAAATCAAAACAGGACATGTAAACTGAAGGGAACCGGGAGCCCGTGAGTCTGGGTCCAGAGCACAGAGGTGCACATGTGCAGACAGGGGGTTGCAATGGGTGGGGTACACCTGGATAAAAGAAATGGAGACTCTCATCACAACATAAGGAGCCCCAGTGGCCAGAGTTTAAGCACTCAGCTACTAACAGAAAGAATGGCAGGTTGAACATACTCAGCAGTTCTGAGGGATAAAGACCAGTGGTGATTTGTCCCCCTGAAAAGCTGTTAAGTTGGTTCCAACTTATAGCAACACTCTATAGGGTTTCTAAGGAGCAGCTGGTGGGTTCAAACCATAGGCCTTGTGGTTACCAGCCCAGTGCTGATCCTACAGCACCACTCTAAAGCTTAGGAAACTGTATGGGAAAGTTTTAGTCTGTCACACAGGGTCACTATGAGGGGCAGCATCTAACAACAACTTAAGTCTTGATCATAGTAGTGACCTTGGGTCAAATAAAGTCTGCAGCCAGGTTTTGTATGCCTAAGACCATTTCTAAAGGGTTATAAAAGAGCAGCAGGAAGAAGAAAGAGGAGGAAAAAAAAGAGTAATCTGATACAATTTGATGAACTTGACCTACACCTATGGATGCAGTAGCTCAAAAGAGGAAATAAATCGTTACAGCGAGGATCATTCCCACCCCCTCCATACACAGGGTAGACAGGGATGGGCAACTTGAACATTGGCTACCCAAAATGGGGGGTGGGGGGCTACAAAGACAAGAAGTGACTGGTTTACAAGCTTTCAAGTGGGACCCTAGATCCAGAGGGCACCGAAGGAAAGTAGAATCTCCACTGAGTAGTATCCAATCTGTCTGGTCAGTGCTGATGAATGAGGATGGGTCTCTTGTGATACAATAGTGAATAATTGTTATAAGGACTGGTTGTAAGGGTTGGAAATGTAAAGGTAGACATTTTGTAGAAAAAGGAGGGGAGAGATTAACTCTTCAGTCTAAGCGAAGGTCCCTGGGACCATCAAGGGAGAAGAGCGGAATGGGGGACCCTACCCAGAGAAGCAGTGACACCAGAGATGGAGGCAGAGATGATGACATGGAGAGATGGAGCGGCTGGGGACTTCAGACCCAGAGAGGGAGAGGGGCTGTGTGTTGACAACTGAGGGGCAGGCTTGCAGGGTACACCCTTTGGTTGTTTGATGATGCATGGAGGGGATTGTAACCATGGCAATGAAATGATATAGGATAGGAAGAATGTAAAGCTAATGTTCTCCCATGTAAACTATCACATAATTCACAATAAAACTTTAAAAAAAAAAAGAAAGGAAAAGGACAGCAGGGACAGAACCTAAAATATTTACCCTCTGGCCCTTCAAGGAGAAAGTCTGGCCACCTCTGTTCTATGATACAAAAAACAAAGAGGGATGTGGCTAGGCTGGGGGACTAGGACTCCACTTTTTTACCGTCTGAATTAGTAATTCCTTTACCTTAGTTTAAATTGAGGGCTACAAGGATATGCACAGATTGTAAAAGAACACTTTGGTAAAATTCGGCAATTATATTCACTTTTGAATTGTTTTAAAATTTTTATTTCTAGTCTAGAAACTAAGTGAGGGTGCCTTTTTACTTTCTCTGTAAAATATTTTGGCTGTTCTCTGTGTTGAACCCAATATAAAATGTTATTTAAAAAGATTTGAACATTTAACAATACAGATTGCTGTGAGGAGTCATGGCCCAGGCCATCCACCAGGTTTCCACTCAGGATGACCCTGGGGGAGTCTCAACCGCTTCCTTGCCAGTTTCTTCACCAGAAAACGCCTGAGCACCGGCCAGAGACACCTCAATCACGAGAAAAAAGGGAAATAGTGGTGCTTAAAATCACTGTAAAAACTACTTGGTGGCGCAGCGAGCTGCAAACGTAAAAGTTGCCGGTTCCAGCCCAATAGCGGCTTAGTGGGAGAACAACGCGGCCAGCTGAGAAATGATTTACAGCCTCAGAAACTCTATGGAGCAGTTCTACTCTGTCCTACAGGGTCGCTGTGAGTCGGAATCAAGTCAACTGCAGAGAGTGGTGGATGAATATTATTATTGAAGCTATCGGGGATCCCGGACTCAAGTCTTTCGCTGCACAGCCGGGGAAATTTGGGCTCGCTCGCCATTTCGCCCCCGTCGCGATGACCCAAAAGCCCAAGACCCAGACACCCCAGCGCAGGGCGACACTGACCCGACAGTCCCCGACGGGGCAGGTTCCGCTTGTAGTCAATGGGGCCGTAGCCCCCCGGCGGGGGCATGTCCTGCTTCACCTTCGAGGCCGCCATGCTTGCAGGACTTCTCACTTCCGGTCGCGGGCGGAAGTTACGTGACGGGCAGTCGTCACCGCCATGATGAGTGTGGAGGAAGCCCGGAGCAGTTTCCGACCTGGCTCTGGGAACTGGAGCACTTGTGTAGTTCCCCGACGGCGCGGCACGGCTTGGCTCCTGCAGCGTAGCTGAGGGCGCTTTACTTCCTCTTCTCCCAGACAGGGCGTTGGTACGCCCTTGTCACGGCACTAAAAGACCTCGCAGTCACCTTCCCTTAGGGGTGCAATGCGGCCAGTTAGGAAGCTGGAGAGCTGCTCCCCCAACCCAGCCTTGAAGAAGCCCCCTCTCCAGTTTCTTCCATCTTAGAGGGTGTGCGTACAGCCCAGGACTCCATATGGCCACGGGCTGGGACTAGGAGTAGGGTAGCTAGCTAGCCCGGGCCAGACTCACAAGAGCCATCCAGACGCCAGACTTAGATTCCATTCGCCAATGTGGTCCGGACGCCCGGCTGGGGAGTCATTTTTCAGGAACTGGGTCGATCCGGGTGATTATGAGTCACAGAGCTTGAGAGGCTTGGGCGCCTGGAGGGCGGAGTCTAGGGGGCCCCCACACCTCGCGGCGGGGTGACGCCTGCAATCACTTCACAAGGCAGAAATTGTTACCGCGGCAATAAAAGGCACCGTAGCGGCGGGGGCCTGGGAGTGGGCACATGGGGGTGCGGGGGTGCAAGTGCCAAGCGCCATGGGTTAGGCCCGAGATCGGAGTCCGGCCGCCCCCCCGACAGCAGCCGCCTCCTGCTCCCCACGCGCCCCGGGCGCCACCATGTCGGGCGATAAACTCCTGAGTGAACTCGGCTATAAGCTGGGACGCACGATCGGAGAGGGCAGCTACTCCAAGGTGAAGATGGCCACGTCCAAAAAGTACAAGGGCACGGTGGCCATCAAGGTGGTGGACCGGAGGCGCGCACCGCCTGACTTCGTCAATAAGTTCCTGCCTCGAGAGTTGTCTATCCTGCGGGGTGTGCGCCACCCGCATATAGTGCACGTCTTCGAGTTCATCGAGGTGTGCAACGGGAAGCTGTACATCGTGATGGAAGCAGCAGCCACCGACCTGCTACAGGCTGTACAGCGCAGTGGGCGGATTCCCGGAGCGCAGGCGCGCGACCTCTTCGCGCAGATCGCTGGCGCCGTGCGCTACCTGCATGACCACCACCTAGTGCACCGCGACCTCAAGTGTGAGAACGTGCTACTTAGCCCCGACGAGCGCCGCGTCAAGCTCACAGACTTCGGCTTCGGCCGCCAGGCGCACGGTTACCCCGACCTGAGTACCACCTACTGTGGCTCGGCTGCCTACGCGTCGCCGGAGGTGCTGCTGGGCATCCCCTACGACCCCAAGAAGTACGACGTGTGGAGCCTGGGAGTCGTGCTCTATGTCATGGTCACCGGGTGCATGCCCTTTGATGACTCGGACATCGCCGGCTTGCCTCGGCGCCAGAAGCGTGGCGTACTTTATCCCGACGGTCTCGAGCTGCCCGAGCGCTGCAAGGCCCTCATCTCTGAGTTGCTGCAGTTCAGCCCGTCGGCCCGGCCTTCGGCCGGCCAGGTAGCGCGCAATGGCTGGCTTCGGGCGGGAGACTCAGGCTAATCGCTAGGGCTCCTGCCAGTAGCGTTACCCAGCGCTACACTCGCGCGGTGCACGCGCAACGGGCGCGCTTCCAGGCCCCACCACTGCCTAGGAACCCTCGCCTACCCTCTCCTCTCCCCGACGGCTACGAATCAAGCTACTCCACCCCCAAGAACTGGAGGGCGCACGCGCGACCCCAGCAACGCGCTCGAAGGCCAGAGAGGAGGCGGGGTGCGAAAAGCCAGGGGTAGTACGCCTGCGCGGAATGAGTACCATTGGTGTGGTTGGCTGTATGAGCGTGAGGATCCATGGCAAGCAGACGAGTGATTGCGGAGTCCGTCCCTAACGGGTCGCGGATGCCGCGAAGTGCGCCCGGGGCACGGCCGTCCCCGGAATCTGTAATAAACTCGTTCTTCCTCGCACCTGGTTCTAGCTGTGGCCCCTTCTCAAAGCAGGGGTGGGGTTTCCCCCCTTAGGGGAAGGCTGGCTCGGCTCTTGCGCAAGGCCGCAATGAAAAGTTGAGGGAGATTCGAACCCAGCTCTTAGGACTCCCCAACCTGAGCAGGCTCGAAGGAGCTCTGCTGTCTTAGTCGCCCTGGGAATGAATGCTGAGCTGTGGGCTCACTAGAGGCAAGGGCGCCTGTCCCAACTTGGACCTAGCCTTTACAGATGAGGAAACGGATGCCCAGACAGCTATCATCTGTCCAAGAACAGAGCTGGGATTTGAACAGCATCTGTAGTAACTAGAGCAACCTTCCGTAGTGAGAGCCGCCCCCTGTGCAAAGGTCTGCTGGTTCATTCATTGGGTGTCCGTCCATCATGTTTTGTTTCACCCGTGTATTCGTCCATTTATCGAGCCTCAGGCTTGAGACTTAGCTATGAGGTTTAGGCGCATCTGAAAGAGGCAGGTGGAAAGTAAAAGGAAAGGCCTAGAATAAGATGCTAATTAAGTGCCATCGAGTCGGTTCCGACCCATAGCAACCCTATATAGGGTTTTCGAGGAGCAGCTGGCGGGTTTGAACTGCCACCCATCTTGTGGTTCAAACTGACCGTGCATCCCAGCGCTTTATCCTGCAGCCCTACACCTGGACTCCTAAAATGATAGTAAATTGTGCTAAGTCGACAGTGGGTGAGTTCAGGGAGGGAACAGCAACATCACTTGAGCAGAGTCCTGAAAGAGCCAGCCTGGGAGAGATGAGGTTTCTGGGTTTGGTCACAGCAGCTGTCGGGGTGTATGGTAAATGTCTCTCTAACCCTAATCCTTTCTACTTCCTCCATTGGAGTCCTGCGGTCCCTGAGAGAGCTGTTGGACTTGTGGGTCTGGCTAGGTTCTACTCCTTACTCACCCCTTGTCCCCGTGGCCCTAGAGATGGAGTGCCAGCTCTCCTCCCCACTCAACTTTATAGATTGTGGTCTTCACCTCATATAATGGCTGCTGAGTGGGGATGGGCCTTGCCCTTAGATCCTGGGTGAATTTTAACAGAGACTGAAAACCCGGCCTCTGGTAGCATAGTGATTACGAATTGGGCTGCGGTGAACTGCAAGGTCAGCAGTTCAAAACTACCAGCTGGTCTGTGGGAGACAGATGAGGCTTTCTGCTCCTGTAAAGATTTACAGCTTTAGAAACCCTGTACAGGGTCGCTATGGATCGGAACCGACTTCATGGCACATAACAATAACAATGGTTAAATTTGAAGGGCCTCCATTTATACCCTAGCCCATGGGAGTTGTTAAGTGCTCAACTACTACCAGAGTTGAGTATTTAAAGTACCATTCTGGTATCTTAGAAGAAGGCCTGGTGATATGCTTCCAAAAGTTCAGTGTCTTGGAAACCCTATGGAGTAATACCAAGCATACATGGGTCACCCCGAGTCAACTGACTTGATGGTTTGTTATGTGCCATGGAGCCAGTTCCGACTCATAGCGACCCTGTACAGGGTTTCCGAAGCTGTAAATCTTAATGGGAGCAGAAAGCCTCATCTTTCTCCCGCGGAGCACTTCTCCATCTATGTTCAAGACCTGGCCCTCCCCTCCAGACACTGCTTTCCTTCCTTGTCCTCATACATAGGTGTTTTCCTCTTTTGTCAATACCTATCCCCAGCACCCAGGACCTTTTCTCAGTTCATACCTCTCATTAGCACTTATAAGGAAATGAGCAGATACTAGAGAGGTTGGGATCCCAGGGATCAGGGCTGGTATCCTATTTCGTGGAAGAAGATGCTGTGGTCCAGTGGTCTACTACCAACATAATGACACCCACAGCCCACACTTGCCTCGGGATTTATACTAATCTGAGGAGCTTGATGCCTGACTATGGATGCCCATGACTCACATCCACTCTCAACAAAAGTAAGCGAAGTCACAAGGTTGAACCCCCAGGAAGTACCACCCCATAAACAGAGTTGGACAGGCTAAGGTGTTTCTATCATCTTTTCAACCAGCTTTCCACATCTGTCTGTAAAATGGGATCCCTGGCTTCCACAGGAGGCCGTGTGGGCCAGGAAGGTATTGGCAGGCCCTAGGACTCAAGAATCAGCAAAAACAAAAGATTAAAAGGATATTTTATACACCATGAAATTAATCAAAGCAATTAAGTGCTGTAGTCAATACTGACTATAGTGACAGTGTATAAGGTTTCCAAGACGCAGCTGGTGGGTTTGAATAGCCAACCTTTCAGTTAGCAATCCAGTGTTTATCCTAAAGCCACAGCAGGACTTCAAAGTGGTCCTAATTCTCATGAAAAAATTAAAATGTGTCTGAGAAACTTGTCCCCAGGAGTTGCTGCTCATTTCACAGCTGGCTTTGTGCCTGGGCCATTTCCTGAAGCCTGGGTGACTTGTGTGCTTGAAACAGGCATCTGGCTTTTCATATCCTATAGAAATGATTCCCAAAGTGACACCCACTGTGAATAGTGCCAGAAAACTCTTTCATTGTTGGAGGTTGGAGGCTTTATTCTTAGGATCCTGGAGATGGTAGGCACAGGTGAGGTCTTGGGTTCATTCCCACCCACTGGAGAGGGACCCTCACCCACCCTCCTGTGTCCCCTTCTCCAACTTGTGGTTATTTTCAAATTGAAAAAAAAAAAAAAAAGGTTGAGGATAAAAAAATACAGCCAATACAGGATCCATTTCTTTATTGTCCTTCAGATTCTAGAATTGCCTCATGACAACGCATAGATAATCAGTTTCAGCGTCCTCATTTATTGGAACTATCTATTCCGGTTTGGTGCCAAACATTTTTTTTTTTTTTTTAACATTTTATTATCAAAGATTTAGAGTCACAATAAATACAAGTGACAGCCTCCCCCCTTAAGGCCCCCAAATACCCTGCACTAGTGTAACAGTCTATTACACTTTCTCTGTTAAAGGAATATAAAAGTTGCTTATTGTTTTTAAAAAAGCTTAGTCCAATTTATTTCTGCAACATCTTGTACAGCATAGCTCAGCATTAAAGAAAAACTGTGAGGAAGAGCAGCAAGGCCCACCTTTCATTATTTACATCCCTCTGAATCAGGTATTTATTTGTATATGTATATAGAAAATTCCTCCCTGTGTGTCTCCATACAACAGGAGAGCTGTGTGTGGGCTACAGAGATTCCTGAGAGGACCAGGAGCCTCTTGTCCCCTGTACTAGGACAACAGAACTGACAGTAGCTCCCATCACCTACAATCTTATCTAAGATAAGCTTTCTGATACTAGGATACTGCTGACTGGAACCTTTTAATGAGGCCAGATGGTCAGAGATGTGGGAGCTCCAAGTGGGTACATGTTTATCTGTGTACACGCACAGTCTTCTACACGACAACCCCCTCCCCCAAAATTAATCCAGGTGAGAGGGATTTTACTCAAATAGCATGGCAGTATTTTGTTGGTGTCCAGTTGCTACCAGGTGTTTGTGACAGGTATTTGGGACCATCACAATAGTTGGTCACTTGTCATTTTGGGCTCCCTGCAAGCTCTTGGAGACTACAAGAACTGTAGCAATCTCAAGGGGTGAGCTCTGCACTGCTGGGTGACACCTGTAACACTAACCTGCGTGCTTTCCAACAGCTTGTTCAAACCCCTACCACGAGAGGTATTTAATGTCTTGTCCTAGAACATAAATTTCATCACAGCGCCACCTGTGATCTGGGGCTTTGTATAACAGAAATTACATTACAAAAGGAAATAACGAAAAAAAGGGGGTGGGAATTTCAAGGTAGCAGAAATGAACTAAAGATTAAGGCGACTTACATTCTTGCCCCTTTAAAAAAAAAAAAAAAAGCTACCGTACGTCACAGTATGTCGTCCCTGATCAGAGTGGCCGAGGGGTGGAGGGCAGAGCCAGGCCCCTAGCTGCCCATCCCTTCTGCCTGAGACACCCCTCCCTCTGGAGGGGTCAACAGTTTGTACTAAACTCACAAAGTCTGTCCAAGCCCCAAGCCCAGGAGGGACGTCCTACGAGCTCGGAGCAATGACGGTTCCTGAGCACGATGGAGGAAGTGAGGTTGATGGGGCTGGTGGCCTTCATCACAGACTCAGGGAGCACGCTTCCTGGCCCATGCATGGTGCTGCAAGGTGATGCCGTGCCACTTCTCTGCATAGAGTAAGGTTAGTTGTTCCCATGGGAGGGCCACTGAGTGCTCCTCAGGACTCAAGCATCTGGCCCATGGCGTGAACAGAGAGGGCCAACAGCTCAGGGTCGTATAAGATAGGTATTTATTTGCCAGGCACACAGAAAAATGCGAAGAATAGAAATGCTTGCATATTCTTTAGATTTTTGGGTATAAAAACACACCCTCTTTACTCCCTCCTGAATGTTAACTGACATCCCTCCTTTTCTCCCACAAACCCCTAGACCTCGGGAGGAAGGTCACCCTGCCCTGCCCTCCCCTCATCGGCCCTTCAAAGCGGTATGCTCAAAACAAAAACCAAGTGAGAAATTTGGGGTTTTACCTAACAAAAAATTAGAACCTTTTGCAAAAAACTCGGTCTCCTACTGCCATAAAAAAATGTTTCCTAAACACTGACATTATTCACACAACAGGAGAAAAGACGTTACATGAGCTTTTATTACAGTAATAGTTGTGTTTGAAGGAGGGGGCCCTGCAAAATAAGGGTCTAAATTAAGTTTCCAGCTACGGTCAGGAACAGACCAGGGCTGGGCTGCCTTTGTGGGGAGGCTGTGTGCAGCTTCACCTGTCTCCGTGGAGCCTGGCTTTAAAGAGCAGGAGGAAAAACAAAACCAGAACTAAGAGCAGATATGAACTTTCTAAAGACATTTCTGTGGATGCTAAGGGGTAGCAAAACCTGAGGATGACCCACAACGGCACCCCTGCTGTAAGGAAAAGTTTCTAGACTAGACTGTCCACGCTGAAATTGGGGGCATGGGTACAGAAGAACCTGGGCTGGTCCCTGACCAAGGATACACCTATCACATGCACCCTGACAGTATTTCACGGTCAGGGCAGTGTATGATTCCATCAAAATCAGTAGGAAAAGAAAAGGAGAAAATTTAATAAAATAAAACAAACAAACAAAAACAAAAACAGCAACCCCTTCTGTTTCCCAGCCAAGATCCTGGGCCTGCGCCCGTTTTCCCTTCTTCCCAGCAGTGTGTCCAAATGCCTGGTCTCCAGTGAACCTGGGTTCATTTGTTCTGCTGAGTAAAAGGGTCCTGGGGTCATTGAATGAGCAGCAGTGGAGGGCTTCCTGTGGGGTCGGTCTAGTCTTGGGCTACCAGCTGCCTGACACCTGGGCATGGGTCAGACGCTATGCCATCAGGACCTGGCAGCTTACTTTCAACTCCATCATTGTGAGGTGATTGAAGATATGTCAAGTGACAGACTGCTGCGATGGAGGGTACCAGGGTTGGGAAGCAGAGCAGTGGCCACCTGTTCAGCATTGGGTTGGTCGTTCTCACACTCTGTGTCATGTCCCAGATCACGCCTACCAGGAACCGGAGTGGGGTTGGGGAGGCGATGCAGAACCAGCCCCTGGGTCCGCTTCTCTGCTGGTGACAGCAAACTAAAGGCAAAGAGAGGAAGGGAGAAAACTGCGCTGTCCCCTCCAGGCAGAGTCCTCCTTGCCCTGTGTTGTGCTGCATAGGCTCTGCAACGTCTCAGGTCACTTCCTTGGCGACCGCACTTAGCAGCAGCATCTCCCAGGCAGAGGAGAGGTTGGCGTGGTCCTTCTTGGCAGAGGCAGCCATGTGGGGAGAGGGAGAAGGGAGGCAGGTCTCCACTATTTCCATGTGGCCGACTGGGGGATGGAGCGTGGAGGGATCATGTCAAGAAGGTACTCCCGTTGGCGATCAACGGCTGAGGATGCCTTGTGCACTGCCAGGCTCGGACTGACAAAGGCAAGGGCCCCTCCTGCAACAAAAAGCATATAGCATCCCGAGTCAGAAAGAACATGGCACTGTGGGGTCAGTCCAGCTGCCACTGGAACCCCTAACCCAGGAGCACCCCACCTTCAAGAACCCTTAGCAGAGCCACAGGTTCACTAGTCAAATCTCCTAAGAAGTGACTTAATCCCTCCTTGTTCATCCCCAGCTAGAAAGCAAGCCCCATGGAGCACAGGATGTATCACTACAAGAAGAGCGCACTGACAGATCCAGACTACAAATGACCAAGGGGAGGCCCACAATGAGGTCACAGTATGACCTTTCTGAAAAGTACCCAGGCTACACTGGCTGTCACCCACATTGTGCCTGCCCAACTCCCACACATGGGGCAACAGCCAGAGATGAATCACTTCTCCAATTCTCATTGTCTAACCAAAGCTGTCCCCATGTGGCCATAGAGGCCCGTACACAACCTGTCAATAGGGTAAGTCATGCTGACAATGGGGCATGGCCATCACAGAGGACAAGCATAGCCTTGAAGGATCTTGAACAGCACAATAAATCTTCACAGAAGCATTAAGAGGAAACAAGACAAGACATCTTGCACACAGCATCGAAGTGCAACACACTCAGATGTTCTGTATCTCGACAAGGAGCCTGTGGTACTTTCATATTCAAAAAATAAGAAAAAGACCCCTCCATACACATAGTTTTGGGCCTGGTGAGGAGGAAGGTCCCTCCATACTGATGCAGAGAGGATCACAGTCACCATCAACCATCTATCCCCAGAGTATTCTCTGGTGACATTAAAATATTTGTGGAAAAAGTGTCTTGGGGACACTTGGAGCCCATGTTCATTGATCATGTCATTCTAAGCTTGTCCATCAGCAACAGCTGTAACCTTGGGGGGAGGACTATGGACGCCCTGGGATTCCTGTGGGGAGATGCTGCTCCAATGACTCTTCTCTCACACCCTACCTGCCTACTCCTTCATACTTGCAAGTGCACACACTGGTTCCCCACTGACCTCAAACACAGTCACAGTCGCAAAGCAAATACCTGGCCACCAAGAGTCTGTGCCTGTGCCACATATACCAAGCACTGGCCCTGTAGTTTAGGTTCCTAAACTCCAGGATGCAGCCTCACTGATCAGACTAGACCCCTCTCCTTCCTGTGCACATACCAGCCCTCTTAGAGTCTGTCCTGTGTCAGCTTGCTTTCCCAGTTCTCATAGGATAGGGCCCATGCGTGACAACACATCATCCTATGAGGACATGCAAAGACACACAGGGACACATGCTACTATTGCAGCAAGCTCTTTACTGTGCCTCTTCTGTTGTCCTGTTTTTTGGGGGAACACACAAGGAGTATGTAACCCCTGTCTTAATGCTGGGACCAAAGAAAACCAACAGGACAAGCACAGACAATGAAGTTGTGGTGGAAAGGGTACACAGACATCACACCCCCTTCCTTGGATCTGGAAGCCTTTTTGCCCAACCTCTGGTGCCTCTTCTCTGCTTCACTGTTCTGTTTTGGAACTTGTATCACCAAACACATCACAGATTGAGGGTGGGGAGCAATGGGACACTTTGTGGGGGGACAAGAGGCACTAGGTGTGAGTTTCGGTATCACTGAAGACACCAGAACAAAGAAGCAGGTGGGAATTGTGGCCAAGAAAGGCACTGGACACCCCCTCCATACCCAGAGTAACAGGGATGGGCAACTTGGACATTGGCTACCCAAAATGGGGACTACAAAGGCAAGAAGTCACTGGCTTAGAAGTTTTCAAGAGGGACTCTAGATCCAGAGGGCGTGGAGGAAGTTAGAATCTCCACTGAGTACTACTATACAATCTGTCTAGGCAGGGCTGATGAAAGGAAATGTGGACAGGTCTGTTGTGATACAGTATTAACTGTTGTCAGGACTGACTGTGAGGGTTGGAAATGTAAAGGTAGACATTTTGTAGCAAGGAGGGGAGGGATTAACTTTTCAGTCTAGAAGAAGAGGTCCCAGGGACCATCAAGGAAGAAAAGTGGAGAGTGGGACCCTACCCCGAGAAGCAGTGATGGCTGAGATGAAGGCAGAGATGATGATGTGAAGAGATGAAGCAGCTGGGGACTTTATACCGAGAGAGGGAGAAGGGCTGTGTGCTGACAACTGGGGGGCAGACTTGTAGTGTACAACCCTTTGGTTGGTTGATGATGCATGGAGGAGTTGTAACTATGGCAATGAAACGACATATAATAGGATGAATATAAAACTAATGTCTCCCATGTAAACTATCACATAATTCATAATAAAACATATATATATGTTTCTGATGTGAAATATTCAAATGTTACATATTTATGAATCATATATATATATATATAAAAAGAAAGGCACTGGAGTTGGTACTGTGAGTCTGTGAGGTAGGTGTTCACATAGCAAGTGTTGGTACATTTGGGGGCACTGTGCATTTAGGGTACACAATCAGTAGACAGAAATATGAAGCTGGGCTCGTCTGTGCCCATGTGCAGTGTTTCTCTGTGAAGGAAAGACAGAAAGGGCAACAGAGTTTAGCACACCCACCTGCGCTCAGAGCTGCCTTCTTCCAGCCAGGAGTGGCACTGCCCTTGCCAGCACCCATGGCCCTTTCGGAATGCTTGCCAGTCCTGGTGGCTAGGGCTGCAGCTGTGTTCTGCAGTTTGGGAGACTGGCTGAAGGTGTGCAGGACACTGCGGGCTGTTGTGGCAGGACCCCGAGACAGCTGGCTAGAGACCTGGAAGGAAAGAGGGACACAGGCTTAGAGGCATGAGCGGGGGCTGGAGCCAGGGGGGCCGCAGAGGGCATGAAGCTCAGCGCAACCTCTCCTTGCTCTGTCCAACCGCTTCCCACCCATGCGGGGTCCCTAGAGTCCAAAACCAGATTACACCGAGGGGAGTCAGGACGGGGACAGACAGACAGATGAACAAAGCGGGTGGCAGTCGGCAGGTTAGCCATGGGCATGTGGGCTAATTGGTGGTGCGGTGCGGGGCAGATGGGCAGCAGCCCCGGGCCTCAATGCTGACCTGTAGCTCGGCCCCGTTACTCCAGTTGCGGGCCTCTCCTGAACGGAACGCCGCTTTACGCCGGGGCTTAATGACCTACACAGATGGGGAGTTGAGATCAAGATCAACAGCGCCATCCGAATGGCACGCATGGCCCATCCATGCAGGATAGGCTGCTTCCTAAAGGAGAAAGGTGCCACCTAGGGCTTGAGAAGACATTTTTAGAGATGGAGAAACAGCTTCAGGAAGACAGAAATTGCCCACAGGCAGCTTCAGATCTATGAGGGGAAAGCAAATGATAAAAAGACCCCAGAGGACTGTATTTCAAACTTGTCTGGCCCAGACGTTCCCTACAGATGTCTGCTTTGTGTTTCACTGTAGCTCTCAGAAAAGTTCTTTCAGATAAGAAGCACTCTGAGCTCACATGCTGCAAATAAAAGCCAAAAAACTTAAAGAAACTGCAAATTAGTGTTTTCACTGTCAAACGCCACCATTAAGTGCAATTTAAACCCGCAGCTGACAATCAGGCGGATGAGTGCTGGCTGAGTAGATGGAAGCACCCGGAGCATCTTGCCTGCTGGGGCGGTTCCCTTCCAAGGAGGTATAGCCACAGGCGGCCTATGTATCCCAAGCACCAAGGGCCCAGGCTCACCTGCTTGAGCGCAGGATGTGGTGCGGTGGTGGGCTCTGCCTTGGTCTGTGTGGGTGGGCCCTGCTGCAGCAGCCGCTGCTCCATCTCCTGCTCCTGTTGTAGTGCCTTCACGAAGGCAGCCTTCAGCCGGCTCGTGTGCTCCACCTTGAGTGCCCGCTTCTGGCTGGAGGTCATGCAGGTTTCACACATGATGGCACCACCCTTCTCTTCACGCCAGCGGCAGGTGAAGTCTGTCTTGCACTGTGCACACATGTAGGGCTCCCGGGATAGCAGTGATGCAGCAGCCGACGCCTTGCCCGCTAGGAGGAGGAGACTTGAGTCAGGGCTGGAGGCATAGTGTGAAAGATCCTGACCCAGGGCAGACCACAGCACCCGCTTGGTGAATACATATCGAGTACCAACTCTGTTCCAGGGATAGTGATCTCTGCTACCGAAACAAAGCTGAATAATAGAAAACCCTGTGGGTGAAACCTCTGTGGAATTTACTCTCCATAGAGCTCTGATCCACTCTCCACAAATGTAGCATGGAACACTGTGGTAGCATAGGTGGTGTCCTAGCTCTCTGTAGTGCCATTAAACTGTCACCAGAGCAGGGCAGACCTCACCCCTACAGCCTCCCCCCACCCACCCCCCCAGTCACCCAGGCCCCTCATCTTGGAGCTGGTTACAGTGGCTCAGTAGTATTCAGGTCCAGACAACAGTGACTGCTGTGGGGGGAAATGCCTCTGTGGATTGGTCAGAGCCATCTTCTAGATACCCAATCCCTCTGTAAGTACGAGCCTGAAGTGTTTGTGGGGAGAGATTCACCAACAAATCCATGAGGGCTGTCCAGGTATCCACTGTCCTGGATCTGAATCTCAGGATCCAAGACACAATCTTGCCTAAAACCCCAGACTTTGTTTGGGCCAGGCCTCTGTGATGCCCAGATGCAACATGCCTCACAAGGCCCTGAACCAGGAACCCAAAACACTGGGAAAGAGGCTAGACAGGGGACCCCTGGTCACCGTATCACCCACACCTGCCCCTGTATCCCAGCTGGGCCTTGCCCAGGACCATCTGGCAGACAAGAGGCGCTTCCCTCTCTACATACACCATCCTGTCAGCAGAGACCAAAGGAACTGGGGAAGTTGCAGCTTTCTGGGGTCTGAATCCCCAAAAGAGACCCTGACTTGTCTTAGGCAGATGCTGTCTTAGTCTCAACCTTAGACCCCACTTCTCTCCGTCACTGCCTGTATCTTTCCATTCCTAAAACCCCCAAGGACATAGCTGTGCTCTACAGCAGCTTCAAAAGGGCAAACGGAGTCCACCTGGCACTGGTGTCCCTTCCAGAGGCACAGAGTGTCTGTCCTGCACCTGCCTGGAGCCCAGAGGAAGTGCTGGCCAGCCTCTCAAGGACATGCCTCCATATTCCCTCCAGCAGACCACCACTATCACAGGCCAATGTGGACAAAAGCTTAGGGCTTGAGCCTCACTGGGTGTGTCCAGAGCAAACAAGTTACCTAAAACCACAGCAGGCAGGGAACCAAGGACAACACCATGTTCTTGTGACCCAAACTCACAATATGTTCAGGACACACAGAGGAAATTGCCACCTGCCCTAGCACCTCCCTCTGTTCCACCCTACTCAGGGTCCCCCAACCCTGGCCCAGGGTTCCCTGTCTCATTCTGTTTTCCTATCCCTTTTGAGTCTCCATCCTCTGATCTGGCCCCTCCCCCTTATCCTGCCCAGGTCCCCATTCACCTTGCGTCTCCAGCAGGTTCTGCACCACCTCCTCTAGACCCACCAGGTAGATGAACTCATTGTTGGCAGCACTAGGCAGGAAACTCATCTCAGGGGCAGGGGGCTTGGGAGGAGGGATCTCCAGCAGTGTCTTCTCCAGCTGTTTGCGCAAAGCAAGCTTGGCGGCTGCTTGACGACTAGCTGGGGAATCACCAGGAGAGGCTGCGGTTGCAGTACCAGTGGTGGTGGTGCTGGCAGAGGTGGCTGTCGTCCCTTTCAGTGATGCTGGGGAGGCCTTTGGGGAGAAGACGCCAGTCAGGAGTGTGGACACATCAAAGCAGTGCGCCCAGGAGTTCCTGCTACTCAAGAATGCTGCCAGGAGTGTGTGCCAACAATCCTTCAAACCCCTCCAAATCTCGTGACTTCCAATGGATTCACAAAACTTGCAAGCCCAGGGAAGCAGCATCAAACTCATTCATCTGTGGCACAACGTCACAGTAAAATGCACCCATTTAAAATACATAACCCAGCACATGCTGACCTATGTACTCCCAAGACGCCACCTTCTACCACCCTCAGGTGTGAATCCTCACAGGTGTGTGACAGGTGTTTCTCCCCTGACAAAGGCATGAAGCAGTTTGGTGAGGGTATATTTAAGAGATGAACAAACGTCTGATCTCATGTGCCCTTGCAGGGACAGCAAAACTAAGGGAAGCAGTTCCAGGCCCAATCCCTGGCCCCTAGCTCTCTTCCTCCCAGCAATAGTTCATTCTCTTTTCCAAGTCCATGGCTGGCTCTCACTGGGAACCCTTATTTTAATCCACACCCATCCCCAGACACTGTATACCACACTCTCACTGAAACCCACAATTGGTTAGGGCAGCACCTTCAGCTAAAGGAGCTAAAAACCCTTCCGAAGATCTGGAGAGAGACACACACTATCTTCAAGGAGCCCTGGTAGTGTAGTCGGTTATGAGTTGGGCTGCTAACCACAAGGTCAGCAATTCAAATTTATTAGTTGCTCCACAGGAGAAAGATGAGGTTTCCTGCTCCCATTAAGATCTACAGCTTTGGAAACCCTATACAGTGCTGTGATGAGTTGGAACCTACCAGATGGCACACAATACCACCACCACCACCAACAACAACACAGACACTATCCTCAGGCAAAAAGAAGGGTATGTCTACAGATTTGCACATACTACACTCTGGCCTTTCCCAGACCCCACTGCTTCAGACAGGAGCAGGACGTGACACAGAGCGTAACACCTATATATAAGTATCAGCAGCCAGAGGGCCTCTGCCTCCCTAGTCCATGGGAGCAGATCCCTCTCCACTCATCCTGTCCCCTCCTGCTTTCTACACACCAAGGCCTGGAACAAGATCTGCTCACAGGAAGTGTAGGGTTATAGTTCACGGTGCTCTGAATTTTGGCAGGTCAGGTCCTGTCCAGACACCTCTGTGATAGGAGGTTATTTGCATGTGCACCCGACCTCAAAGGACCAAAGCCCACGCAGAGCTAGTAGTCCACCATGGCCCTGACTCCATCTGATGTGGCTAGGGTGGTGATAGGTTCCAGCTGCCGTGGCAAGAGTGTACTGCTCCAGAGAAATACGGGAGAACAAACTAGCCTGTCAGCAAAGCCAGCACCCAGTCATTCCACGTGTCTGTCACATGCTGGCTGCTGTGAGTGGGAGGGGATGGACCGCCCTATCACTGAAGCTGGGCACAAAGGTGAGGGGGCACACTGCTAAGAATAGACATGCTGGCTCCATAGGAACATCTGCAGACGCACTTCCCTCTTAGGCACTCAGCAGAACAAAGGGGTGCTCCGCCCAAAGGACCCGAGCCAACAGGAGCAGCAGGATGGGAGGGGGAGTAGAAGTGGGGTGGCAGTACAGCAGCAGGGGGCAGCTCAGGTCCTGGATACCTCACTTCAACTCTCTTCTGAAACCTATAGTTCCCCCCCTTCCACCCCCCATCCCCAACAGATCAGTGAACATCCCACTCTCATCCTGAGGGACAGGTGAGTACATCCTACCCTCAACCCTAACCGTCCTTTTTTTTTTTGCCCATCCCACGGCAACTTCTCTTCAAGTCTGCATCCTACCTCACCTATAAGCCCCTTGACCGCTCTCATCTCCTTCCCACCTGGCTGCCACACACTCTTCCTCAAGGGCAGTCTGGATAAGACCCCTGCTCACAATGGTCCCAACAGACATCACTGACCCCAGCACACACTCCCTCACCTGGGGGATGTTGACGAGCAAACCAGCATTGGGAACGTTGGCGACTCGGATCAGGCCCTGCTGGATGATTCTCTGTCCCTGGATCTGCACACTGGGCACAGATGCCCGGGGGGCCAGGAGCAGTGGGGGTGGCCCTGTTCCAGAATGCTGTCGGATGTTGTGGATTTGCTAGGGGCGGAAGGAGTATTGTGGGGAGGATATCAGAAATTCATTCCAAATGATGGAGGACAGTGGCTCTCAGTGCCACAACCAGATCCCTCAACAAGCCATAAAGGCAGACCCCAGACCATTGAGCCCACCAGTCTGCTCACCTGGGCCCCGCGGACAAGTGGGGGCATGACAACCTGGGCGTTGGCCTGTGGCCCCGACTTCACTGATGCCTGCTGCCCACCACGGACCAGGGGTGGCGGGATAATGCTGCCAGGCATTCGAGCTGAGGAGGCCTGTGGACAACATCCACAGTCCCATTGAGTTCATAGGTACGTATGGAAAACACCAGCTGTGGTTCCAACAGAAGGCTGAAACACCTCAGTATTTAGTCTAGGCCACAGAAAAACAGGAAACAGACCACCAGCAAGACTATGCAGGCCTGGCGCAACTAGTTTGGGGACAATCTTCATAAGACACGGAACCCGCAGGGTCTGCCCCAGGGATTTGGGACTCTCCAACCCTCAGAAACCAGTCCTAGATATGGGACAGGCTGCCCTTGACTACAAAGGATTTTGCTGTCCTCCTTACAGGGAAGGTTCCGGGCTTTGTGGGGACAGCCATGGGGGTGCTGCCACCACTGGCCCCTTTCTCTCACTCAAAATGTCAATGGTGTCAGTGTTTGGGCAACTCAGAGGGGCAGATGGGCAACTCAGGAAGAGGGCTGGGTATGGGTGGTACTGTCTTTTAAAACACCCAGTGTGGGAACACTGACCTGTAGCGATGGTTTGCCAGCAGGAATGTTCTGGGTACCCCGCACAAGCGGGGGAGGAGTGGTCACAGAGCTTGTGGATGATCCAGCAGGCTGTAGGAGATCAGAGGACATAAAGTGAGCAGAAAATCCAGGCCTGAATGAATCACTGGGAAGACAAAGGGGTTTCCAAAGGGCACGGCCATTTTTGTTCCCTGACACATCAGACTCTTAGAGGCTCTATTTCCAGTCCTTGTAAGAGTCTTGCCTGTTACTTACCGACACGGTTTGAACGTATCATGCACAGCTGACACTACACTAAGCCCTCTGGGGATGGCGGACCAGGGGCCGAGTAGAGCACCCTGATCCCTGTGAGGAGATGTAGAGGAAGCACATGTCAGAGTTGTGTACCCCACTGTGGAAAAACAGCAGCTTGACTTGCTCCAAGTCTTCAAAAAACAGGACGGCTCCATTCCCCCACCAGTGAGCACATGGAAAACACTTCTCATGTAGATTAACAGACACCAGCACTTAATGGAGTCAGGGCATAAGGCAAGACCTCAAACATGTAACATATCTGAGGAAACGGCAAAAGCAAACTTTCAAACCAATCCCAGGTCAGGTGACTAACCGCTGTCTCCTATCCTCTCCTTATAGCAATGTACGTCCACACTCTGTCTGCTTTCTCATCCAAGATGGGTTTATGCTTACTTATTGATGATGATGATGTTGTTGTTTTGTGCTGTGGAGTCGGTTCCAAGGCTGTAAATCTTTATGGGAACAGAAAGCCTCATCTTTCTCCTGTGGAACAGCTGGTAGTTTTGAACTGCTTACCCTGAGGTTAGCAGCCTGATTCGCAACCACTACGCTACCAGAGCTCCTTTACTTATTTTATACAGTCACTCAAATAATGGAAGGGAAACGCCAGCACCAACAAGGAATCTTCCTAGCATGGCGCACTCAAAAGTCTTACAAAAATCACCCTGGAATTCTTCATGTTACTTCTGCACTGACAGTGGCCACCCACACCAGGCTGTACTGAGAGCCTCAGGCTCAGGAAGACACCACAGGTAAGGTGGAGCCCAGGCTGTAGCACTGTGTGCTCAGTGTGCACAGTGTTCACAAACCTAGCATCCTGGTGCAACACCCCTGGTTGTAGATGGACAGAGACACAGACGGGGAACATGGGAGTTGGTATGACATCCCTGAGGGCCTGAGGGTCTGTGTTGTCCCTGTGATCAGCTTATCCAAGGAGGGAAGCCTTTTTGGAAATGTTGTTGTTGTTAGGAGCCATCGAGTCAGAACCGACTCATAGCCACCCCATGCACAGCAGAAGGAAACAATATCCGATCCTGGGCCAACCTCACTACCGCTGCCACACTTGAGTCCATCAATGATGTCACCTGGCTGATCCATCTCGTTGGGGGTCTTCCTCTTTTTCTCTGACCCTGCACCTTACCCAGCATGACATTGTTCTCCAGCGACTGTTCTCTCCGGACAATGTGTCCAAAGTATGAGAGACGAAGCTTAGCCATCTTGGCCTCCAAGGAGCACTCTGGTTGCACTTCTTCCAAAACAGATCTATTGGTTCTTTTGGCAGTCCATGCACTTTCAGTATTCTCCTCCAACACCACAACTCAAAGGCATCAATTCTTCTACAATCTTAGCTCAGTCAGTAGAGCAGCAGATTTTTAATCTGAGGGTCCAGGGTTCAAGTCCCTGTTTGGGCAGGAATGCTTAGGTTTTTGGAAATAGGCTCAGGAAAAAGCGCTTAACCCAGAAACACACTTCTGGCAGCAAACCGGAAACACCTCTTTCCATTTCCAGGAGTAATTTTCTGCTTTCAGTCCAAGGGAAGTGAATTTTAAATATTCAGATCCAGAATGTTATACAGACTGAAATGTATTTGAACACCCATTGAGATAAATCCTTAATACACATTTGAAATTACAAATTTCAAATTTCCATTCAAATACTGCCTTGTCCCACATCACACCACACCAGAGACTCCTGAAAGCCACCAGCTCTCCTGGCTCTGAGACTGAAAAGGCTGGTGGGGGGTAATGCAGTGGTTACCGCTGCAACCCATCCCCAGAACAGTAGCCCCATCCCCAGAGAGAACAGATGCACACGTTCACCTTCTGGGTAGCAGTTTCTTTCTGGATCTGACTCTGCCGCAACTTTTTCAATAAGATGAGTTTTGCTTCTTCTAATCTTAACTCTTCTTTTAGTTGCTTAATCATCCTTTCTCGTTCCTCAGGAGTACTTTTCTGCAAGAGCAAGAGAAAAGGGGATGACAGAAGGGGTTATGTAACTTGACTTGAGCATCAGTGCTTGGGACCAGGGAAGATGTGCTGAGATTGGGACTCCCCTGGAAGTGTGGCAGGGGTAAGGAGGGCTCACCATGAGGACCTCAGTGTTGGTCTCCATTATCGCCGCCCGCGTCAGCCCATTCACTCTGGGGCTGGCTGGCTGCTCACCATCCGAAAGCACAATTACATCAGGTGAAGGGACTCTCCTCTCAGCCTTCACATCACTGTGGACAGAAATAATGGGCATCACAACCTGGCACCAGAGCTCACAGAGAGCAGGTGAGTGCCTGCACCTCTGGCCAGCTGTTCCCTGGACTGCCTTAACCAAGATCCTACCCACCACCCTCTGGTTATGTGTCCCCTGGACTGTGTTTTCTGAGGTCTCAGCAGCACCTGCCCACATTCCACACTGCCCTCTCCTATTGCATCTGACAAGGTGGGCCTTAGCAACAGAGGCTGTTCTTTAGTGCCTACTCCATCATTTTTCCAGGTAGACAATACCTAGGCACACAGAGCTTCCTTCTGTACAACACAGGACTGGTGCTAGCTATGAGCTGCAAACAGGGATGCTGAGTACTGGGTGGATGGGGCTGCAGAGCCAGGGCCACCACTTCACCATGCTGGATTACTATTAGTGACCAAACCCTCTCTCTGCCCCCCTCTCAGGTGACTGATGCATTAAGGAGTGCAGTAGAAAGACACACATGCATGTGTTCACACACACACACGCTCAGTACAGGAAAACCGCACAGGTCTCTTGACCCCCATAGGTTCTCACCAGCTACGTGCTGTTCCCTGCCCTGCTGCCTTTCCCTCTCTACTAGTGCAGTCGTATTCACCCAGAAGCCGCAGTTCTAACTACACCATTTTAGCCCAAGTCTCTCCTTCCTCGCTTTCTCAACTCACAGCTCTCTCCCCCTGACCTACGGCAGCAGGGCCAGGGGACAGGGAAGTCTGGGGCACTGTCAATGCACCCTCATTTCTTAGCGATTTATCATGCTGAATTTACAAACAGTTTACATGCATGGTTGAGGAACATGTATGGGAGTCCCCGGTGAGAATGTTCTGGGCTTACCTGATCAAGCTACTCCCATGACATGGGCTGAGTGGTCACAGGCACCATGTGAAGAGAGTTTATCACACTGTTTCATTTAACCTGAGAGAGAACTCAACTATACTGGTTCTCTAGGACAGCAGCTACAGCATCAGCTACAGCACTGCCACCCACAGGCCAGTAGCACTGGTACCAGAAACACACTTCTCCCCAAGCAAGTACTGTAGGCTCAGCAGCAGTCTGAAGTCCATTTCTCTGAGGCTTGGCATTCAGAGTAAGCGAATAAAGGACACAAGCCCCTAGATGGCGCTGCCACCCTGAAAACAAACTTGGATAAGTTTCCGATAAAGTTAACTGGAGGAAACAGTCAGAAACTGCTCTGAGTAAGGCCTCGAGGATAGGCTCAGGGTTAGAATGGCCATTAGGATCCTGAGTGTGTATCCACAATTGGTTCTTGAATGGAGTTTCCACTCCTGGAGCAACTGTGTAGGCCAAGTGCAGCCTGGAGCCCCATGCCACACTCCCCTGACCCCACCTTGTTCAGAGCCAGGAAACAGACACAAAAGGGACAGTTTCAAAGCAAAGTCCACTGATGAGGGTAACCAGTTAACATACCAGAGTCAGGCAAGGATCATTTATCCAAGCTTGGTGGTTTCCTCACTGGCTACACTGTACTGGTGAGATACTTTGCTTTCTGATGACTTCAAGAGTCCCATCCTGGGTCTTGGAGCGCACATATCTGAGTTGTCCATGTATGAGACACATTGTAGTTTTTAGGTGACCCATCACCTCTGAGGGTCTCTAAGTTCCTTACATAGCACAATGCCCTACAGGTAGGTGAGCTTCTCTCTGAGGTTCCACCACAGTTGCTACTCCCGGACCACAGGTGACGAGGCAGCCATTGGTAGAGCTGGCCTCAGCCCAGGTGGGCTTCAGGTACTACTGCACATGAACCAAGGAGTAGCTCAGGTAAAATTGCATATAACGGCAGTCTCAGAGAGGCTTTCAGGCCAGATGTATGCTAAGCATGCCCAAGAACACCACTGCCCACCACGTATTCTGTTTTGCAGAGGGTGCACACTTCTTCCAGAGAGATGTTCAAAGAACTACCCGGGGGGGAATGGGGCACGGTCCAGAGGGGTCAGTCCACCTAGCGGCTGCAGCACACCAAAATGACCACAGCTTGACTGACCATAAGGTTCCCTCTCGGGCTTCGTCTTGGCAGAAAGTGATCAATAACTCCATCCAGGGGATGGATGATGTCACCTCCCAATAAAGCAGTTCAGCATCCAGGCAGCCAGCAGGGAGTGAACTTCCTGTATGCTAATCAGGCCACCAAAATGTCATGTGACAAAGGCATTTCCCTCCCTGGTCATGTGACCCTTTAACTGTGCCTTCCAATGTGAAAACCATGGCAACAGCCAGTTCCAGCCGGTTTGTGACATGCAGCCTTCATTTTGAGAAGTGAGGTGGGGCTCAGGTGCTGTCAGAAAATGGAGGCGCATGCACCCCGCCCACCTGCAAACTCTCTTGCCTGAAATACTTCCTGTCACCCCATCCAGTACAAGGCTCTGGTATGAGGGGCATTCATCTCCCCCTAGCTACCATTATCCAAACCCAGAAACTTTACTAAGTTCAACTTTTAAAGGGAAAGCGCCTCACACCTCTCAGTGATGTCCCAGAAAGTTTTTCAAGTTCAGGGACAAAAACCATCCCTTGAGTATCTACCCCAAATTATCCCCCTGCCTCCCCCAAGCAAAAACACTACAAGTCAATTCCTACTAAGTAATACTAGATAAGGTTTCTGAAACTGTTCATCTTTTCTTTATGGGAACAGACAGTCTCAGCTTTCTCCCTCAGAGTGGCTGGTGAATTTGAACTGCTGACCTTGTGGTTAGCAGCTCAGTACTTACCTTACAGTGCCACCAGGGCCCCAAATTACAGTAGGTATTAAACCACTTGGGCCAGGAGAGGCTGGGAAAGCAAAGTGGAGAAGACTGCTGTAGCAGAACCCTCAACTCCCTGCCAGGGGTAAAAGGATCACGTTTGCTATCTGGGCACCAGAACTCAGAAGATTTGAGGTCACATTGACAAGTCAGCCCTCCAATCTTGGGAACTCATGAGGGGGCCAAGAACTGCTTTTGGAGCCTACAATTTGGTCTCCTATGTTGATGCTCAGAGAGGGCATACTCCCTTTTCCACCACCCTTCCATTTGTCCATCCATTCACATTTGTGGAAAATGCCCTCAAAAACCAGGCAATGGAGACAAGCTTTGGATAAAACACATTGTATCTGTTCTTCAGGGTCACAGTACATCTGGCAGAACAGTCACATAGATAAGCAGGAGGGGGAGGGGCAGGCAAAGGGCAGGGACTTGAGGGATGAGTCGACACAGAGGACCTGCTTTGCCTAGTTAGATGCGTCTGGCCCGTGCCCTGGTAGCTCAGTAGCCAGAATTCTCGAGGTCCTCAACCCACCCCTCCTGCCTCCTCAAAGGAGACTCATTCTTGCCCATTTGGAAGGCAAGTTAAGGAGAGAGGCTCATTGGTCATCCCTGCTTGGGTACTGCCCTCCTAGGATTTGGAAGATGCTGCTCAGGTTTGAGCATGGAAAAGTCCCAGGCTAGGCTTCAAATGGGCCTCTCCAGCCCTCATGCAGTCAGAAACATTCTCAGGGCAACTAGTCCAGGGTCATCTTAAAGCTCTGGCAGGACCCAGTGTGTGTCAGTGCATGCTGGGCCATAGCTTGTTCCCCCTCATACCTCAGGAGACATGTCCCTCTCAGCCCTGAAAAGCAACTGGAAAAGCACAGCCATGGAGTCTTCCAATTCCTGCCTTAGAGTCGGAGGACTCTGGAGCTCCATGTGGTTCGGCCTCAAACAAGACTGGATCCCCCTCTTACTATGGTTTCCACTCTGCACAACTGGAGGTTTACCTGTGGTCTTCTAGGAGTGAGCTGGATAGGCCCATTCTTTGGAGACACAGCTGTGCCCCAAGGCCAAATGCAGGGCCCTAACCCCTCCTAGGCTCTTACCACCCACCTGCTGCTCACTGCCTTGGCTCCTCCCCTTTAGACTTCCACTAAGCATCTAGTATCAACCCTGCCTGCCTGCTTGGTAACTTGAGACCCTCTTCATGGAGATGTCTATAGAGAAAGCATAGGCCTGCCTGGTGGGAGGAGGTCAGGATGTACTGTGACTCTGCAGAGGCCACCAGGGCTGGAAAGCTGAGGCGTGACTGAGCCTTAACTTTTCCTGGAAACACACGTCCACATACACCAGGCCCTGCCTTGCGGTGAATCCTACAAAACATCTAAGAGAGGGCACTGAGGAGAGGGAAAGATGAGTGAGTAGTGCAACACTTCACCTGACTTCTCCACACAGGTTGAGTGATCCTGGGGCCTTGGCCTGAGCCTAAGCTTTCCTTGACCACGTGTATTCTCAGTGACATAACTAAGTCACATGGCACATAAAGAGAGACACAGGGGACTTGCTAAAACTGTAAGCAGGACAGGGTCCAGTGCGGGGACCATAGGAGATATGGACACAACCACAGGCTTCATGGTCAGCAAAGGTACTATAGACAAACCAAAGTCTGAAGCTGCCCACAGCCACCACCCAAGGAAGACAGGGTAGCATGACCCAACGATGCAATCACGGTTCCAGGAAGACGCCGACACGATCAAGAAAGGCTCATCCAGTCCTGCAGGGAAGGACACTCTAGAAGAGACCACACACACAGGCAGAATTGGAAATCTGCTTTGCGATATCTGAGAACCACTCATAATGTCTGCTCTCCAGACAGACTCATGCTCTGTGTGATCCTCACAGCAGCTCTACTCTGAGAGGGTGTGTGTCTGTCGTCCTGCTGTAGGGCTAATAGCCATCGTGGCTGAGAACCTCCACAATCCTATGTGTGTACCTGGCCCACCCTAGCACCAGGCCAGGAAGACCAGAACAGCTTCATGTGAGCAGCTGCCAGCCAACAGTCTCACCATAGCTATGAAGTGACCTGGAAGTGGTCACAGGTGAAAGTGATCTTGTTTACACCCAAGAGGCTCTAACCAGCTGGTATATTCACATCTCCAAAGCAGCAGAAATGGCAGTGTAAGGGAATGCATGATACAGTTCCAGACTTGGGACACTGGGACAGTAGGGATCCTGTCTACTT